TTTAAATAAGTATCGGATTTTTGTATTTGTAAACTTCTTTTTGTTATTCTTACTAGGTGGACTAAATAAAATTATTCTCTGTATTACACTGTTCATATTTTATATATATATATTTATAATTTCCGTTCTTATTCAATAATTTTTTTTATGAAACTAATTTGGTGTTTAAATTTTAAGTAAAAATATTTGCATCAATAGTAAGTCTCTTGTTGAAAGTAATTATTTTAACACAGGAGCGATTGTTGTTAAATTTTATGAAATTATCTCAGATAAAAATGTAATTAAAAATAAAACTACAATACAACATTTTCAAGCAAACTCAATTTATGTACAGTAATTCTATTTTTTTATTTATTAAATGATTATCGTGACTATAGTGAAAAATCAATAAACATTTTAGTACCTATAACATATATTTTATTAAAAGCATGTAAGTTAATTATAAAAATAAACAAGTATGGATCGTTAAAAGTTTATACGTACCAATATACGTACCTATATATTATAACTTCATAGTTAATTCAAACAAATGATCTATATAGATAATTCGTTTTATATATTATGTATGTTGTTATTACTGTATATGTCCTTGACAGTGTTCGAATTTTTCCCTTCAAACTTTTTATTTAATTATATGTTAAATAATGGTGAAGAGTATATGCTTCTTACCTATATTTAAAGTTAGCCATCTCTACTCTGAAACAAAATTTCAAATATTTATATTTAATTAGCCATATTTAACAGGCATTATAACATATTAGAATAATTATATGTATGAAATATTTAGGCTATGGTTTTTTCTTTCAAATTTGGTTGGTGTTTGATTAAGAACATTTGTAGCTTCTATGTGTACAATTGAGAATAATAGTATAGAGCATGTAAAGCCTTAAGAATTTGCCATTTTTAAAATTTTAAAATGTGAAATATATGAAAACGTAGCTCGATTGTCAATTGATAATAATAAGCACTAAAAAATTAAAAGTTGCTTAAATTTCTTTACATTTTTCAAATTTTTTACGTGGAAATTTATTCTGTTTTATTTTTAACCAAAATTACATAAAATAACACTAAAAAGTAAAATTTCAAATAAATTACTGTTACGATTAAACGAACAAATATGTAATACAAGAAAAAAAAAAAATAAAAAAATAAACTAAAGCGTGACTAAATAATTAAAGTTAAATCATATATAGCATAATTAGTTCAGCATTAATCATAGTTGATTCAAATAAATATAATAGAACATAATACACTTTAAGTTCCATAGACTTAAGTATTTGTTCATACTTAATAATAGAACATTTTAGTTTAATATTGAGCTTTAGAATATTATGAAATTAGTTTATGGATGTTGTAATAGTTATAGGTATTATAAGAATATTTTTGTTAAAATTACTTTCAATCGCTTTGATGAGAATAACAAGTTACGTAATATTTTTAACAAGAAAATAAATTTAGCGTGCTCAATTGTATTTAGAGTTTATATAATAATTTCTCGAACTAAAAAGGATGATAAGGTATAATATTTACTAAAACATTATGAATATTCAAAACAATTTTCCACTCTAAAACCACTTGGACAAAAATGTATCGATGAAGTGACGATTGATACCAGAATCGATACTATTATTTTATTAAAAGTGACTATAAATGATCGGTTGTGAAACAATGTTTGCTAATCACATACTACACTATGTAAATACATCGTGTTGCGTACAGTGCAGAATTTTTTTCTCCATTTAAGGCTTACTTAATTTTCTTACAATACCCAACCATAGCCTGCAAATATTAAACTTTTACATAAAGTAATCGGTGTGGTCTACTATGGGGACCACGATAGCTACAAACGTTTTACTGTAATTTGTTTAATAGAAACGCTTGTAAAACGGTAACATATTTTTTTAAAAATACTAACCAAACAACCATTCAATTTTCAAGTAAGACTTATGAACCATTCAGCACTTGTTTGCTGTTTGCAGTCCACTGGTTGCGTATACATGTTTGAGTGCTTATATGTCATATGGTATAACCTTAATTAAACTGAAATTTGCGTCATATGAAAGAAAAAAAACTGCAATTCTAAATTTCAAAAGCACTATAATGTGTCCGTTTTACGAGTAAACGAAATTTGCGATCAACTGTTAGCGTGATATTAACATTTCAAATTTTCACAAGTTTAACAGTGTTTAAATAAAAGTTTAAATATACTCTGTTAAACAGGAGGTACATTTATATAAAATGTAACGTATAGTATTGTCGTGAAGTGTGACAGAAGTATGCTCCTATCATCACAGTGACAACTACTAAACGTGCACAAATGAATATAAGTAGTCGGAATACAGCCGTTTAAAACAACATAGGTAAATTATTCAGTTATGAATGAAGCTTATGTTTGATATGGACATGTAAAAAACGCGTCCAAATGTAATGAATTTATCAGTTTTAGTTTATGACGTAATGTTGCGTACCAAATTTTTCGACATTTTGTTTTATATTATTATATTACCCTTTTGTGACATATGTGACCGTGATACCGACTAGTAGCCTTGAGTTATTTGAAACGGATTTTAACGCTCCTGTCTGTTTTAGGTGCAATTCGGAATTTATTCTGTGGATATTACATATTTTACCTGCACCATGGACTCTTCTGCACATGCTCTAAATCATTTTTATCATTCTTAAATTGTAGAATACACAATGTATACGTACCTTGTTAATTATTACGATAACGATTTTACTTCATTCTATTGATACGGTATAAGTGAACTATAATCAAATTTTACAATTATTTTCATTTATTAAACTGTTTAGAGTACGAGATGGTTCAAACTTTTTTGATAAGCGTACGTAGTAAATTATGTATTATGTATTTGTGCTTTAAACATTAACCTGATAGAACCAGTAGTCGTTGTGACCGCACGTTGTGGTGATTGTTGCGATACCTGTACATAATGAAATAGATATACAGGAAGCACATACGTGTCTGTGGAAGCGTTTCCGGTACTATTATTTACCCTTGTAGTGTAGTCGTGTATGATGTGTATTTCACACTCGCCTTCCGACACATGAGCTATGAATCCGGCTCATATGTACACAAGCACATAATCGTAGTGTAGGACATGGACACATATTCTTGGATAAAATCAATAATAGTAAGACAATAGTCAATTGTGGCAGCACTTGATGGGAATCTTGGGGAAGGGTTAAAATTATTTATAAATCCACCAGTACCACACCTCAAACAACTATCCGTCCGAGTTCTGATTTCTGCTTGGTTTTCATTTTCGACTCTTCGACAAATCGGACGAAAAATATACTATCTACAGAAAAAATATTGTTTGATCGTTATCAACAAAAATTATGCAGCACTAAATTACCTAATTATACATTACTGCGATTGATAAAGAACCGTATAAGTTATACTGTCGATAGTGTCAAACTGCTAATAACTTCGTTTTGTACATTTCATGGAAACAATAATGCATTGTGACAGGAGAATAGAACAGAGTATGAGTGTTGCGGAAATGAGAATGCTTAGATAGATAAGTGGAGTGACAAAAGAAAATAGAATAATAATAAGGAACGAATATGTGAGATGTAGTATTGGTGTAGCGTCAATAGTGAATAAAATAAGAGAAAATAGACTGAGATTGCTTGGGCATGTGATAAGGCGAGAAAAAATAGAAACAGGAAGAGTGGTTATGAAAATAATCGTTGAAGGTTAGGAAAAAGAAGACCAAAAAGAAGATGGTTAGATACGATTAAGAATGATATGAGGGCTGTTGGTGTGTGCGTAGGAGATGTAGAAAATCGAGACGGTTGGAGGTGAAGGACAAGGATGGCCGATAATAGTTGAGAGAAAGGTTATAAGAAACCGGATAATTCAGCTAGTAATATTATATTTTCTGTATAATGAATTGTAATATGTTTGTACTAAAATATATCGGTATAGGAATAATACTCTGTAAAATGTAAACAACGCATATCAGCTGGAACGAAGTTTATGTAAGAGACTGCACTTTTTTCATATTAACACAAGCACGATAAATCGTTATCAAAACTTTTTTACTGGAAACGCGTTGAGACAGCTATAATGATTAACTGAATTTAATCGATTTCGTTAAAAAGACTTTTGTATGTATGTATATATATATATACGTGTAGAACGTTAAATCGCTTTTGACAGTTAACGTGTCGCGTCGTGTCATAGTGGTTGTTGTTGAAAGCTATATATTGTGCTATTTCATCATAATTCACGTGTACGTTTTGTCACGCGTAAATAATTGTTGAATGTTCGAATTTGTTTTTATAATTTTTGTACCACAATCACGGACATGCACACTTACGCGCGTTCATTTGTATACTTACATTCTATAACACATGTTTATACATATCTACTCATATACTCAATTAACATGCATATGCTCAATGCCGAATTTAGCAGTTATGCAAGGGGTGCGCAATGTACTGGGGGTCTCGGAGATAAGGTTTTTTTTTTTTTTTGAAGCTTCAGATGCTGATCCTAGATTTTCTTTGTGACATGAAATAATACGTATTCTGATAACAAAATACATTGATTAATGATTCAACAAATTATACGTAATATATACTATATATAAATTGTTTATTAGACTGATTTATTTTCAAGTCATTCCTATTAATTATTATTATTCCGTTTCAACATTTATTAAAGGATCAAATCATTTTGCGCCGAACAATTTTTTTTTGTTTTTCGAAGGAATTCCGATTAACACATTCTGGTCTTCGTAGACTAAAATGCGGGGCATTGCATATAATTGTCCGCCGTATGTTTAGGCTTTATGCCTATACCATTAGGTTTTATCGTGTGGGTAATATTTTTCATTATAGGTACTTTAATCGTTACATGTACACATAATTATTTTACTTGACATTATATTACATAATTATTATATTTACATATTATCATATACGTTGATGGCTTTTGCACGTACTCGCACGTACATACGTTTTGTTTGCAGCTTTTGGCCCCGCATGCCGCAACATGTCCTACCGCTCGCTGGCCGCAGACCGCGTGTACAAAGCGACCACGGACGACCTGCAGCCGGAGCGGAAGAACTCGGTCAGTACCGTGTTTAAAAAGGCTTTTGGCACACTAAGCTCCAGCCCCCGGCGCAGGCTGTCCGAGCCGCTTATGTCCGGCGTGACCGTAATCGGCACCGGAAACATCAACACGCCGCTCAGGTATACGTCGCCGAGGGCATAACGAATATGCCTAAAAAAATACATTTAAATACCATTGCAGTGCACCAACAGTAATGCCTATGAGACGTAAATGTATAAATTATTGTTCGGCTTTTTTTTTTAAATTTTTTAATTTTTTTATACCGTTTCACACTTAAACGTAATGTGTTACCGACTCGCTTCCGAAGCACACACGCAGTGTACACGTTCACACACTCATACCAGAGTCGTACTACATTGTCTAGACGCCCGTGTCTTCGAGTATTTTCTTGTGTTTAGTAAATCCTGTACAGGCTACAGAATATGGGTATCGGCTGCTAATATTAAATTGTCCCTGTAATATCTCTATTGTACCTTTTTAAAAGCTTATCTGCTAGGTATTTAAAATCAACATCGACATATATTAATTAATTGCAGTACATTGTTGTATAAATTATATTATAGACATCATGGAAAACGGTATAAAGAATAATTTACAAACATTTGAGTAAGCCTGTATGAACCAATTTATTATTTGAATTATCAATCAAATTTTTTAAATAATTATACTTACAACCTCTTTAATTTTATTAGAATATTTCCATTTATTGCCAAATATATACAAAAACGGTTTATTTATTATAATATAATGTTATCTCGTAGGCGCAGATAAGCTCCAATTTATTTTCCGGGGAGGAACTTTATGGGTATAAATCATTTTTCATTCTTATTAATTTAGTCACATTAACACATTAAGTTTATTTCGTGTATGTTATTATAGACTTTATTGGGATGATCGATAAATGCAAGATACATAGTCTGTGGTGGGAGGTGGGATTCAATTTCACCTAGTATTTAGTGTTTGCCGATTCTTTTTAAAAGTTTCGACTGTTATAGCTCTGGCACACATATTCTGAACATGGCGGGTTGCAGGTTATCTTGAATATACTCGTGTATACAATATATTTAAATTTTCTTATTCGTGTTTATCGAACGCAGTTTTTTATTTTACAGAAAAATGCCTACGTCTGCCATATCCGAAGAGGCGTCGTTGCTCAGGTAAGTGACATATTGAATCGCATCCCAATTCTTCCTTAACCAATTACGATTTGTTTCCACTCATTTGAACCACGACATTTGTTTAATGTTGAGCTATCTCTTAATATGTGATCTGATACCATCGTTGTGTGTATTACCCACATGTAAGTAAACACAAATATAAATATGTTATACTTATATTTCATGTGGTCAAAATCTATGGAAGCCTTGCAGATTCAAAAAATTTGCGATAAAAATAATTAAGACCGATTTTATATTATTAGAGTCAAACCTCTATTTAATGAGTTTGATGGTTCTTTTGAATACAATTTGTTAAATAAAAATGTCGGTAAAAATGTTTACTATTTTCATTAAAAAACACGTTTTACCTAAGAGTGTTAATGTACGTGATAATTATTGTTGAAAGTTGGTTGTTGTTTCAAAAACTTTATTTTGAAATACTTTTGAGAACTCCAAAATAATCATATTATTATTTAATGATACAAAAATAAGTTAAAATTAATTCGCTAAATAGAAACATTTTTTTTTTTTTAAATGTCATGATTCCTTAAAAAAATGTGTTATGTAAGCAGTATATATGATTGTATAAATTCTTCGATGAGTATTGTCGGAGAGGACTAAAAATGAATGTTAAAATCTTTGGTTCATTTTTAAGACAATTTGAATTGTATGTTTTTTAGAAAAAACGGTTTGACAATTCGCATTACTGTTATCATATGCTGTACGTTGATGTTCTTTAATTATTATCATTACATATTATACTACTTAATATTATTTTTTGTATTAAAATTTTTATGGCATATATATATTATACGGCAAAAGGCACTTTAACTTTTAATTTTTAATAGATCGCACATTGAGAGATAGGTGATGTTCGATAAAGCAATTATGATTAAGTATTAACGAATAATGAATAAACTAATGACAACGCGTTCGCATCCCTGTATATTACGTGATCGTGCACAGCGGAATGCGGTCGGAGACTCTAGAGGAAGTGGAACTGACCGGTGTCCGTCCATCACTGCCGGCCGTCCGGACGTTCACCAGGGGCAACACCGGTGTGGAAGAGGTGTACGTGGACACGGACAATGGCCCGTTGTGCGTGGCCGTGCAGGGCGATCGGTCCAAGCCGCCCATACTCACTTACCACGATCTAGGACTGAACTGTAAGCAAGAGTTAGGGTCCGAAGTGGCACTGTTTCCGCGGTTCAACGGGACAAGACGATTTATTTACAATAACTAGACCAGCGGTGTGTAACCTTTTTTGATCCATGACCCTTCAACTAATTAATTTTGATGAGGCGATCCCCATTCCTAGCAGCATTATGTAAGTGTTCTTACTTGATGTATACAAATATTTTATTCGTATAAATTAAATCATTAATTCTAGGCGATTTTAATATTTTTTTAATTTAATTAATCCAAAACATAATGGAAAAAAATACAGAATTAGTTATATAAAATATAAAATATAAATATTAAGTTAAATTAAATAATATAAATAATATATATTTTTTATTTGGTATTAAATTATTGGCGATCCCTCAAGAAAATTTGGTGACTCCCTTAGGAGTTGTGACCCTTAGGTTGCGCACTACTGGACTAGACAGCTGAAACTTGGCTGTTTTCCTAGGAACACGTTCGTGTACAACTTGTACTATAAACTTATTTATAAATCGTAAATGTTTACACACAAAGTGATAATAGTACTAGAAATAGTACTATTTTTTGCTTTCTTATCAACGACCCATAGTTTGTCGATTTGCCATTAGAACGGTATAAAAATCAAATGGTTCTACAGGCAAAGTTATCGTGTGCACGTTTTTGCGCATGGAGTTGGCCATCTAATCGTTATAAAAATCTGATGATGAGACAAATGCCTCGATCCCACATTCGTATCGTCGGCCAAGATCCGTTCATATTTTATGTCTATTTTTAATCCCACGATACAATCCACATTTAAATACACTAGTAAACCGTTCCATTGAACATATTTACATCGGACTCCAGACATTTTTTATCAGAGGAGGTAAATATTTTAAGGGACTGAGACCTTCTCGGTTCCGCTCTCTTATTACTCGTATATCTTCTCGTACTACGGAGTGATTGTGATATTTATTTTTTATTTTTATTTTTTTGGACCTAAAGCCTCTTTGACTTTGTAACGACTATATACTTTTTTCTTCTTGACAATAAATAACTACGTTATCCGTGTTTTTCTACTTGCCGCGAAAGCCATTTTGTATACACATTACGTAGATATATTTCAAAGTTCACACGTGCACACGAATAATAATAATAATAATAATAATAAAGAAACTCGACTGAATAACACGCCACCTTTGCCTTTTGTCGGATTGTAAAATATTCATTTGACAGCGACCGCATATTTCACCAGGCGCAATGTTTAAATTGAATTTTTTTCATTCTCTAATTCATGTACCCTAACCGGAAAACATGGTATCGTTGAATCGTGTAACGGGGCCGTAGGCAATGTATACAAGACAATATCATTCGGTTACGCCATCTGACATCGTTGGTTTTTCAGATGTCACGAGCTTTCAGACGTTCTTCAATTACTGTGAGATGCGGACCTTAATGTCAAATTTTTGTGTGTATCACGTGAACGCACCCGGCCAAGAAGAAGGAGCAGCACCGTTATCGGACGAGTAAGTTTAAAGCGGTCCAACTCTTACATGATATGTGTGCATGAATTACGTGTTTCGAGTTTAATGTGTATTTATTTATTTATTTTTATATTTTTTTATTATTTTTTTCACATATACATTTATTTGGATTTGACTCGTTTTATTATTTATTAGGACCATGTGTCCTATGTAACCATGATGTTTCATTCACGATATTTTCAGATTTTTATGATCTTTATGATTTTTTATGATTTTTATATACTTTAGTTAGCTCAAAGTAATGAATCATTACATAGATAATTTTATGAATATCTCTTACATTTTTATTTATACTAATGGATAAATTTATAAATAAAAAATATTTATATTTTTATAATAATATTAATATTATTATACTGAAAGCTCTTTGTACCATAAGCGGAAATTTGGTGAAATTAGTGGGGGGCTAAGCATTATTTGCTTATTACTCCTATATGTACCCCTGTACGCAATTATTTATTTCAACAAGGCAATTTAAAATGTTTGACAATTTAACCAAAAAAACAATTAGGTGCCTTATCTTAAACATTTTTGGATTAGGTATTCTAAACAGAAATTATTAATTAATTAAATTAAATAACCAATACGGATATTATTACAAATATTAATATTACATTAATTACAATCATTCCAAGTTATGACAGTAAGTTTGTAAAATCTTACGTATTTTATTTAATTTTTATCTCGGAATATATTTTTTTTAATTCAACATTATTAATGCATTTTACAATTATAATAATTATTGTATTTTTAGTCACTTAACAATTTTTAGGGATGGGGGGCTAAGACCTATACTTTAAATTTCTGGGAGGGCTTAGTCCCCTCAAGCCCCCCCCCCGATTTCCGCCTATACTTTATACATTATAAAATTTTATGCATACCGTAATTTATTGGAATAAACAATTGACTTATTCGCAATTAAATGAATTGAAATATTTGATTAGTATTTTTATGAAGGAAAATCTGATAAAAAAAAATGTCTTATTAAATATAATATATATTGCTCCTATTTTCAATATTTGTTTAAATGTAAACTAATTCTGTATACATAAGATGAAATTATATTTAATATTAATTATAAAATATGTTTAACGCCATTGACTTATTAACTATCGAATATTATTAATACTTCAGTTTTAAAATATATTTCTTTTAAATTTAACTAAACACACAATCTAAAAATATTTAAATGTGTTAATATATTTGAATATAGACGAATTTTCATAAAATAATCTATGTTCATATTTTTGGTAATTTTGTGTTTATTGATATTACTCATCGTAATCATTTTGAGAAAACAAATTATAAAGCATAAACAGTAAATATATATATATATATATATATATGATATTAGATAATTTACAGGTTCATTTACGGTTTTATACTGTTCTACAAATACATAACTGATGATTTATATTAATTAGTTCAGTTTTAATGTTAATATTGTTATATTCATTATACTAAATAGAATTCAATAAAATGTCAAAACATACTTTACACAAACTATTGTAAATATTAAAAATGATGAATATTTAATTTTTATTAGGTACACGGTCTAATTTTGTTTAATTAACTTGGTACAACAATATTTTAGGTTTAAAACACGTGGACATATCTACTTATTGATATTTATGACCAGTAAGTTCGATTTGATTTCTCAGCACTATTTTAGATTGTTCGTTGAAGTACGTTTTTAAGCTCTCTTCCAAAACGTAAGGAATACGTTGTTGTGCGAAATTCCTTATCGATTCGCAATGGTTTTCATTTCCCAACATTAGTGTAATTCCATTGACGGTAGTCTTGACAAATTTCACATTCATTGCTTCTTGTGTGTTGGATTTGGTGATTAATAAGACGGTTTGCACGTTGTCGATAGTGAACATAGATTTACCCATGTACGTGTTTCTAGTGCTGTATTTCAAAGCCCACTGGTTACTTCCCATTACATTGAACAAAGCGAAAGTGAAAAGCATTTCGATTTGATCGTTGTTGTCGGTGTAATTCGTCAATTTTTGAATTTTGTCAGTATTCCACGAGTCATGCAACAGAGTGTTATAAATTTGAACCTGTAACAATATCAAACGATTTTTTTTTTTTTTAATACACAAATTTTAATGCATATTTAAAATCAATAATTATGCTCCATAACAATGATCCAGAATTTATTGTCGCATACTTATGTTATTAAGTAATGCAATTGCACTGATACCTTAAGGGGTTAATGGTAATACAGAACTTAAATAATTTAAGATGGTGGGAAGGGTTTTATATTTATAGATGCACTGGTATACAGAAAATACCATTGATCGAGATAATAATATTTTGAACAAAAATCGTGGTATATAATATATATATAGTATATCTTACTTGAATGCCGGGGACAATATTGGCATAAGCTTTTGGTATTTGTAAATCTTTGTTTGGAAACATTATGGCTGCATTCAATTTTTGTTCAAGACGTTTTGCGATTAATGGCCTGAAGATGACGGTCAATTCTTTAGCAATGCGACTTTTAAGCACACTATTGAGATAGTTATAGTAGTAAATATATGGCTTTAAAACGTCGGTGTTGTCGTTTTTCAACTCTTTCAAGACTTCTCCGTCGGTGTACATCGACTCGTGTTGACCAACTGTGATTGTCTCGTTAACATCAATTTCAGGAAGAATTTCCATAAATTCATCCAAAATGAGCTTTGTTTTGAATTCGATATTTTTTAATGTAATGTAGAATTGTCCTGACTCTTTTTTGTTAAGGTTGGCTGCAGAGTAATCACCAGTGACTTCTGCTCCATTCAACAAAACGTGAACTGAAATCTAAAAATGCACATGTCATTAAGTTTGAGCTTTTTATTAATGTAATATTATTATCATTATATTTTACCAGATTTTTGTTGATATCCTTGAAGTCTACGTCTTTTAAGACTGCATTTTCCATACCATGTAAAATAGCATTTCTATATTCAATCTCACCATTTGCCAAAAACTCTGTAGTATCGACTAAGTTTAATTGGTCAGGGAATTTAAGAGTTTGTTTAGCTTCTTTGGTATATAATGGATATTTTTGAACGATTTTCAGAATATTCCTAATCTTTGTGACTAAATTCGAACATTTTGGTCCGTTATTATTTTGATATTCTCGACAGTCATTTTTCAAAGATCTCAGATCTTCGTATTCGATTTCTGAAAAATTAATTAATTATTAAAATAATTAATATACTTTATTATATTAATATGATATTGGATAAAAATAAATTGTAATAAAATATAATACATCAATAACGTCGCAATTACTTTCATATAAAATAATATAAATTAAAGGACTCATGAATAGTATTTTATTTAAAATATATTATATTAAACTGAAATACTTATATTTTATTACACAATTACGTTAATTAATATTAGAAAACGAGGAACTTATAATTTAGTATAAAACTGATTGTTGGAGATATTTTAGTAATTTAAGAGGTAAAATGTTTTAAAATATATAAAAAAAATAAATAAATACCTTGAACATCTTCTTTGCTGTTACCACAATACGAACAAGTAGCATTGATTGTTGCTACTATAACAGTAAATCCAAATAAGAAAACTAAGACCTTCATCTTTCTGTGAGGATTATTACTGAACTGCCTTTGCAAATCTCCAATCCCATGTTTTTAAACTGATTGAAATGTTGAATAAGTTTGTTTTGAGTAATGGTTATCATGGTCTATAGTGCTAATCTGTTGGATTAATATAGATTGTAAAATTAAATGATGTGGTATAATACAAATTAAGAAATATATTTACCAGATAATCAATTTTTTCTGTACATTTTAATAAAAACGAATTAAACTATTATTAGTGTTCTTTTTTTATCATCAATACAATCTAATTGTAGGGTATCCAATAATTATATATTGTACTATATGTTAGTAATAGTGTAATTTATGTTACTATTAATAGGTAACATAATACGGTCTTGGGTTGGGACGGCTGAAGTAAAATTAGTGACCGATATTGAAACATAAGTTCAAACCGTTTTATTAGTAGTTTAATAATTCAATCATCAAGTTCTGAACGTTCCTTTCTTAAATTGATTACAGTTAAGAATACACTTTATACATTAGTATAAAATAATCGAGAATTAATAGAATCAAATAAATGATGACTTGGCGTACAAACATTTTTAATGGTCAATTATTTATATTAGACCTTAATTACTTATTATATTTATTACATTTTTATCCCTATCATATTCTAATAACACATAATTAGTACAATTTTGCACGTGCCGGCGTAATTAACTATACATATAATATTAGTTCCTTGAATATGGATTTAATTTATAATTACTGCTATGCTTGTTGTTTTGACTATTGAGAGTTTTAGATTATTTTTAATTGGCATCATAATTTCTATCTATTATTAAAAAATCTAAATAAATAATTTACAACTAATGAAAAACATATATATTTTAAAATGTTTATTAAAAAAAAAAATTTTTAAAACTATACAATTTAAATTACATTAGTGAAGAATTGATAAATTAATTAATTTTATTTTCATATACAAATGTTTTTTAGTAGAAAACAATTACCTAGATATTTCTTTGTATATTTTGAAATCTTATTAAATTTAATTAATATTAAATATTAACTCTTAAAGAATATAGAGGAAGTACATATTTTATCTAATAATTAATTGTTGTTTCTTTTTTCTTTGATTGAAATTATGTTTTACAAACATTTATTGTTTCATAATAAAAAATAAATATATCCTCTTGATAAACTTAGTTTCTCGTATATTTCTGATTACAATAATTTCAATATTAAAATTAATAGTTCATTAATCTAAACATTTATTTTTATTTTATTTATGTAGATAAGAGGGTTATAATAATAATTTCCTTGTGGTAAATAACATCCCTAAATTATTTTTCGTTACTTATATTTTATTTGCTATTATAGAAATTATAGTTGCTCAATTTAAATGATTATTGAGCTTGATTTTAGTATGAAGATTTTATATTATAATATATATTTTACATAGAAACTACGATAATATAAATTATATATATTATCAAAATATTTTTAATTTTAATTTAGTATTTATAATTATTATTTTATTGATTCCCGTGCTTTAAAATGTAGTATGTTATTTTAAATTCGTACTAGAATAAAAATATTTTACCAATGAATAAAAAGTGACTAAGGGATTTTATGAATAAATTATATGTATATTATTCATATGTATATTAGCTTTACGTTTTTAATGCTTAACAAAACAATTTTTTTAAATGTATATGTAATACGAAAATTATATAATTCGTTTTTTCTAACTTATTACTAGATATTGTCTATGTGTTATTTTCATGTAATAGAAAATAATAATTATTTACTATAAATATTTATACCAATATTGATTGAAAAAATGAATAATATTTTTACATATTCATCTGAGAAATATTCATTTTTCAACAATTTTTTAAAAAAATAAACTAAGTTTCAATTTAAGACACTCGATAAAATTTAATTAAAATTTTGTCAACTTATACAAGCACTCGTACACATATTCATAGCAGGTTGATGATGATCTATTTAAAACGTGAATTTTGTTTTATAACTTATATTAGCTGTCAATAATGATGTGTTATAATAACAGTATCAAAACATTTGCACTCTTGTCATTTTTTATTCATACGAGTATATTCTTATTAAATACAGAAATTTCTAATCCCCCATTGTCTGTTTTTAACGGAGCATCCGAGTTGGGTCCCGAGTACTAGGTGTTAACCGCAAGTAGTGTACTGGTTAGGTCTCGGATTTTTATAGGTACTACACTAGTTGGGTCCCAAATTATTTTAAGTACCACACTAGTTGGGTCTCGGATTTTATAGGTACTATACTAGTTGAGTTCTAAATTATTTTAGGAATTACACTAGTTCCTAAATATTTTTTAGTAAGTACTACATTATACTAACATTTTCCTTTCCATTTCAACAGATTTAGGACTGTCTATGATCTATTAAGACCACAGGTATGGTTAAAAATGTTTTTTATAGTTTTTTTTTTTTGTTTTTTAGTTTTTTTTCCATTAAAATATAAATTATTACAATTGTTTTGGTAAAAATATTAAAAATGTTAAAAATCAAGTATAAAAATATATATTATATAATATAATTATAGCCATATAGGTAAATTAAAAAATATTAAAAATTTTAAAATCATTATATAATATAAATAAAAATTAAAGGCAAAGAAATAAAAAAACTGTAAAAAACATTTTTAACTATACCTGTGGTCTAAATAAATCATAGACAGTCCTAAGTCTGTTAAAATGGGAAGGGAAATGTTAGTACAATGTAGTACTTACTAAAAAATATTCAAGAACTAGTGTATACCTAAATAATTCAGAACCCAACTAGTGTAGTACCTAAAATTATTCGGAACACAACTAGTGTAGTAATTTTAAATTTGGGACCCAAATCGGATGCAGCCGTTTTTAATACTGCATACCATATTTGCTTAAACGTATATTATGTTTCATCACATGTTTTATTATTTTAGACGTGTTTATTTTATTATAATGAGTTTGTTAAAAAACACATAATACCTAACTTAACCTTACCTGTTTTTTGAAGTTAAAAGATAGCAAATAACCCCTTATTGATTCTTACACTACTAGTATTTGGTTATATTTTAGTTATGATAAAATCCACTATAATATGACTGAACTAAAAGTCTCAATATTTATTTTCGGAACATTTATACAGTGAAATCAATGTTCAATCATTTAGTCTATTAATTGAAAAAGTATAGTAATATTTGATTATCAATTAGGATAAGTATAATAACCGATTAAGGAGCAAATTTTTTAATTAATTCTTAACAGCAAATTAATAAATAGTTCTAAATGTAAATTCAAAGCTAACCTATATAAGCATATTTTATTAAATTTAAAATAAGTATGAAATAAAATGCAATAAAATTCATAAACTAGCTATTCATTCATTTCACGTAGTAATGAATTGTTGTTTTACGTTTCAATTATTGTATAAAGCAATTTGTAGAAACTGAATGTATATGATAAAGGTTTTTCGATGAGCCAATGAAAATAACAAATAAATCCCTGATGTTGCAAAACTTAGTACATACATATAAAAAAAGAAATTATGAACTTTTTTTATAGATAAAACTGCAAGCTTGTGGGTAAGCCTTTGAAATAAATCACTCTAGAGTGAATTTATATACAAAAAAAATAAAACGAACGAAACATAGTAGTCTACGTTTCTATTTCTTTTCAACACAATGATGTGTTTATTAACTATTTAAGCATACGTAGAACAGAAATAAAATTAAAATCGTTTTTGGAGATATAAAATAATTAAATTTAAAATTAAGTATAATATTAAATTATTTTATTCCATATAGTATAGATCATATTGATCAGTTATTGGATAGTCAATAAAAAAATTTAAAAAAATTTCAATTATTAAATTTAGCATAATTAAATAACTTATTTTTATTACTTTTTATTAAAATATATTATTAAATAATTTATACATTTTTTAAACATAGGAAATGTTTCAAAATTATTTAAAAACAAAAAATATTTGGGTATATTATTTTGTGTAAATAAATATTAAAGTAAATAAGCTATTATAATATTATAACTATCTAAAACTCGAATTAAATGTGAAAAGTTTTAATTTAATTGGTACTTTTAAATGTAAATAATTAAACTTCCTATTAAAAATAATATAAATATAGAATTAATTGATAAATGTACTACATTGTTATTAAAATAATTTTAATAAGTTATAGGTACCTACAGAGTCGTTAATACGATGTTATGACCTAAAGGTTAGAGATAATATTGTGTATTAAATGTAAGTAAATTATATAGATTTTCTATCAACAGCTATCCAAACAACATTCTTTGTATTGTATCAGTTTTAAATAACTATATGCAATTTAACTATTTATTATAGTGATAATGAAAGACGTTTCGTTATTTACAACTTTTGATTAATCCAAATGAAACATAAAATAATCATTTTAAAATCAAGATTGTACGAGTACGCGTGAAATTGTTTTATATCTAAATTAGTTTACTGTCACATAACAATTATAAAAGCTTTCATCATTTCAAATAGTAAATACTGATTGCTTTGAAAATAATTTGTCACTTGATACTTTGTAATATAATATCATATGCAAAAGATGCTATAAACCTGTTGATTGAAATAATATTGCAAATATATTTCAAAGTAAATTAAAAGAAAATGTAAACATATAAAACGGCATGGGTTGACAATTCGATATTGATTCATGATCGCATATTAGGATAATTAGATTTAATATATTTGGCCATTTCACTATTCAAAAGCACAAAGAAAACTCAACTTGGGGAAATTTACTCATGTCACTTTTATTATTATAATTAGAATAATTATTTAAAAAATATAAGTACCCACGTGAAATTCTTAAATTAAATATATGTAAGTATAACGTACAACCATTTAAGTACAACAATGTTATGAATTATATCATATTTTGGTAATAAGATGTAAGATTTTTTTTATATAATTACGAGTAAATAATTTTTAACTTGACCCTAAAATGCTAAATATTTTTTAACTGATTTATATATATATTTATATATATTGCTAAATTGAAAAACTAAAAATCATTGATTTAAATTCAGCTTTAGCTTAAGATATTTAATAAAAAATAATAATAATATAATATATATATAAATCTGTGTTTAGTACAATTAAAGATATGTTTCTATATCACAATAAAATTATAAATCCAGAAAAAAAGTTATTAGGTTAAGTTATTAAGTTATTATTAGTTGTTTTGTTATTATTAACTATAATTAAAAGTGAAAAACTGGAAGAAGGCTTTAAAAACTATCTAATCAGTTATGTGATTTTCGTTGATTTGGTTTAAAATGTCTTATTCACATTACATTAAAAATAAACACTACATTTTTTTGCGAGGTTGTATTCCTCAATCATGTCTTTAAAAGTTATAGCATCGAGAATGTACGTTCATATGTTACTTGGGTGAGTGACCGAGTTAGTAGATATTTATAAACAACAGTGACGTGCGATGATATTTTATATTAGATAAGTACTAAAATAAAAGTTCAAGTTATAGCTTAAAAAAAAAAGTTATTTTATTGATATAAATTATAATCTAAAAATTATTTATAGATAAAATCCATTCAACTTTCTTGTTTCAATTTTAATGGGCGCATTGTATATCTACTCAGTTGATCGGTAGGCTAGTACAGGCCTATTCTATAAGTACACAAATAAATATAACTAGCTAGTAATTTTGTTAAATTTTCAATAGAATTGTTATTCTGAAACTAATGAAAATTAAACGAATCAGAATAAATCACTAGAACACAGGAATATAACACAATATAATTCTATAATATTATGCAATAAATATACTTTAAAGTTACTGATATTGATTAATCCAAGACTAAGCAACTTTGAAAAATAAAATATAAGTATAAACTGTAAACTTTATTAAACCTAATTACTTTTAAAATTTCTGTTACATTAAACATTAACCTCATGAAAATAAATGTAGCAATACGAATTTTAATTATATTATAAAATCAATTTAAAGACTAAAATCATATCTAATACAAAACTGATGAATGAGTAATAATTTAAAAGTAATTTTCTTAAAAAAAAAAATCAAACTAAAATTAAATTGCTATTTAATAACAATAAGTACAAAATACAAATTTCCTTACAAAAAATTTTAAAACTATTAAAAAAATAAAATACTGAATTATTTATTATTTATAGAATACTAAAGATTTAACTTTATAATAAAACTTTTATTATTAGATACATAGTAAAAAATTCAGTTAACCTAATTAACAGTCACAAAAAGTTTTGTTGAAATTTAATATTAAAATGCTCGTAATTTTTTCTTTTTTTTTTCAGTTAGTATTAAATTAGTTAATTAGCTCAGTAAATTTCCATTACATTTCCAATTATAGCTTATCAAGCCTTTTTATCAAATCAATATTATTTTTTCGGCATTTTCGAAAAAGAGTTTAAGAAAATATGAAATTTAAAATATCAATATGCTATAAAAATCTATTAATTTTAAAATCATACTATTTATAGCGAATGGTGAAATAAGTATTCAGTGAAAATTGAACATTTTTATGGTTCTTATTTTTGGATTTACAACGAAAACAAAATTTTAAATTATTCATAAATTGGTATACCGTAAATGTCGCTATATTTTATATAACTTTTTATCAATTTTTCGCAATTATTAAGAGAACTGTTGAGAAATTTATAAACTTATTTCCCGTAAAGTAGGTACCATTTAGAGAACATTTCGTATTTTTAACTAATTTACTTTTTTGGTGATGAACAAAGCAATTCTTCGCTTAAAATTGTGTACGCAGACACACTAAAAAAAAACATCATGGTAAAACCAATACATTCCTAGTTTTTATTTAATGAACTATAATACATATATAATTAAATAAATCCCAAATAATATATTTTTCTTAAATTTTGTATATTTTTCTCAGATAGCTTCAATTATTTATGATTTGTACTTTTGTAGATAATTGTAACTGTTGTGTAATCATAGTATATTTTTGCACTAAAATTTAGAACATTAAGTATTATTTTTCTATAATGAAATTATAGAAATATTCTAACCAAATATTTTAGAATAAATTTAATAAATTTAATTTGAGAAACATCAGTTAAAATACAGGCCCTTTATTCTTAGACTTAAATTTTAGGACCACATTTACAAAATTTCGGGGGTAGTCCGGGCACATTCTGCACCCTCCGTGCGTACGCCTATGCTTAGAATCTAAAGAGATACATAGAATACACGTTTTGTTATTATATGTATTATAAAAATAACATATATTTAATACTTCGTGAAATATTCTTATTCATTCTTGTAAATAATTTTTTTTTTTTTTTGAAGTTTAGTCTTATTTAAATATAAGTGACAAATTTATGCACGAATATATTTTTGTAATTTTTTTCAAATTCTATGTTATGTTGAATTATGATTTTTATGAATAATTTATTTTTAATAAAAATACATCACAAGGTCAAGTTTAAACATTAAACTAGTTTCAATAACATAATACCTAATCTTTTTTATATTTTTATTTTATGGATTACACCCAATCGCAAAAACTATACTTCCGAAAATATTTTAGAATCATAAAATTACATAAATGTTTCAATCTGGTTTATTTTGTTGCATATTGCTTATTTGGTATACAAACGTTTGGTTATCGTTATGAAAAATATTATATACTATTATTATTTACCCAAGAAAAATAGAAATTATAGTTAATTATTATATTTGTCTAATGTATTTTGATTTACAGAAGTGAATTACAAAATATTTTTAATGTTTTGATTGGTATTTTTAACAATTTGTTCAATGAAGTATGTAACCAGGTGTTTCGTCAATTGTTCCTCGGTATAGCTTAAATCGATTGCATTTTGTTCTTGAATTTTGAATGCAAGCCGAGCAGTTTTGATTGAAACTTTGGTTTGAACTGTTTTGTCATTGAAGTTCAAGGTGGGTACGACCATGACTGGTTCGAATTTGAATATGGCTTTTCCACTGTAGGTCTTGCCTTCTATAGATACGACGCAGTTAGATTCTCCGATCAAACTCAACAAGCGGAGTTGAAGTTTGACGGTGTTTGTCTCCTCAGTGTTGTTCATTTGAACGAATGAGATTTTGGCCAAACTGTTCTGGGTGTTGACGAAATGGATGTTTTCGAATTCAAAATGGTTACCGTTGTCGAGAAAACCGTTGAACGAGGTGGCGTCATTTGCGATGTTATTGCTTTGGTACGTTAGATATGGTCTGACGGCCTGTCTGATGCTCATGGAAACTTCGTTGTACATGTTTTCAGCAACGGCAGTAGCGACGTATGGGCAGACAACGTTTTTAATGAAGTACCTACAGGGGTGGAGGGATAACTATAATTAGCAAACATAAAATGCACTCGTGAATTGATTTCGGTTTTCCAAACTCACTCGAACTGAGGTTTTTCGTTTTGGAACAATTCCGGTAGTTTGGTGTGTTTTATGATGGCCTTTCGGAAAGTGACGGAGCCAGCGATCGGCATAGTTGGGTAGGTGTTCGAGTTCTTTGTGAGTGACGTGTTGCCCACGTATTTGGAATCGGCCATCACGATTCTAAACACTCCCGTGAATCTTCCGGCCGTGTTTGTGTAATGATACAGCCCGTCGACCCAGAGTTCGTTCCAGCTGCTTTCGGCGTTGACCTGTAACGAAAACAAAACCAAATCGATTAATTGTCGCTCTCGTGGCAAGCAAACGTATAATACGACCGTGTCACTTACTACGTCTTCTCCCCATAACATAGTTATATTTTGACTGGCAAAATGTGTCATCCCCTTGACGCGGATACCGGTGAATAGTGTATCGGAAATGCTGCCGACGTTGACGGTGTCCGGTATGGAAATCTCGTCCTTTACAAGTCCTTCGTTTTCGGTCAAATACCTAGCGTTTAGGCGCATGTTATTAACGATTGCATCAAAAGAGTTAGGGATCGATTCCCGTTCTTCTTGTTCGTGCATGCGTTCGTAGTTGGTACCGACGTGTCCATCATTCTCTTCGATCATACCATTTTGGCTCTTGGATATTTGAACTGAAAGTGATGCATTATTATTATAAAAAAATAAAGTGAATAAATAGATAATGTGTTATTGTTTTCATACAACAAATTATACGTACACGGGAGTATAGCAGCCGTGGCTAAAGCCAGGATAGTGGTGAAAACGATCAAGAGTTTCATGGTGTCTTGTCACTTGTGCGGAACTGTAGTGTTGATATTTCAATTCCAACCTAGATTTATAAAGACTGTTTTAGTCGCATTGCTGATTATCTAATAAAATACGTTTTTTTTAATCTAATTTAAATAATTTTAGTTTTAATCAATTTTTATTTAGAATGATTGATATTATAATACACAACCAGAAAATGCATAGATTGGTGGACCTTGATCGCTATCAGCTAAATTGTAGCTTGCATAAAATCCATTTATGTGTAATGTGCAGATTGTATATGTTATTAAAAAATGGTGTATTAAGACTTTCATAACTTAAGTGCAATGTTTTCTATTATTACCTTGCATATTATTTATAAGACGTAAGCATATATGATAAATTGTATGATATAAGATACGAGTTTAAAACATATTATAAGAATTTATTCTTATATTTTGTTGAAATATAAAATTTTTTAATAGAACATTATCGGTGATGTAGTGAACAAAAATAATTTCAAAGATGTATATGTTAATATATGCAAAATATAAAAACAAATTATCTGATAAAGTTAATGAGTATAATGACTATAACACTTTATGTGTTTCAAATAGGTTAACACTTATTGATTATTTTAGCAAAATATGGTAATTGTTATAGTAGTATTTTAATAACATAAAATAACTAATTGGTACTCATAAGGTCTTAGAGACTAATCTCCCATGATTTAGGAATACGTCACTGGATTTTTTAGTTTAAACTTCACATAAATAATCAAATTATTAATATACTTATATGAAATTTCGATACCATACATATAATAATTTTATGTTTAATTATTTTATTTAAAATGATATATACTTATAGGTCCTTATATATTTTATAATCGCATAATAATATTATAATTATATACACTATACTCGTATTTGAGTGGACTATTTTGAAATTATATAATATATAGAGCTATAAATTTCTTTATAAATTTTCTTTTCTAATTTCTGGTATATGTAATCCACAGCCATACTGAAAATACAAGATTCTTAATACTTAATTATTACAAATAAAATTACATTTATTATACAATATTTTATATATTATTTTAATCATCCGCAAAAATTATACAAGTACAATTTTAGGTATAAAAAAAAAATAATTATTACAATTTACTTATTATTGTTGTATTCGATTTCAGTTACGTTTTTCCGAGTATGGATGAGTTAGCGAATCAGTTGGACCACGTATTAAGATATTTTGGATTGGAATCGGTTGTGGGACTTGGAGTTGGAGCTGGAGGAAATATTTTAGCACGATTTGCTTATAGACAACCAACTAAGGTAATGTGTGGTAATTTAATATTTAAACTTTAAAGCAGGTTTGTAGGTGCTGTTTAAATGGATTTCAAACAAGAAGGACATAAAAACATATAAATACCAATTTTATTGAGTTATACTCATATAAAAAATAGATAACTCAGAGATAAATTAACTGTTGTTTAAAATATTTATTATTTGCTATGAAATATATAATGCTTGTTTATAAAAATAAAGAATTAATTAAAAGTTATAATTGTATTGACTTTGTATATGTCTGACAACGATTATTAATTGGAAACTGGTCGTACTTTAATAATATAATAATATTGCAGGCTAAGCATTTTAGCATTTATTTATTTATTTCTATACATAAATTTATTTGTATATTAATTTAATTTCAAATAAATGAAATCAGTTAAAGTCATAATATCAGTTTCTATAAAATATTTAAATGTATCTGTAAACTTATTGATTGGTTCCTTCAAAAAAGCATTATATTAATTTAAAAGTTAATAAATAGTCAATGTAATACAAGTGCGCACAGACTAGATGTCTCAAATCATTAATAATAATATAATAATATGATATTTATAAGTTTCGTCGAATTATTAAATTTAAATATAGTAAAAGTAATTAATTATTCATCAAAATGTACGTTGTATAAGAATGTGACATGTATGTTACATAAAGCTCTCATTACATACCTGATTCGGATAACCTGGCCCCTGAATTCAAATTAGACAATATAAATATTTTTCAAAGAATACAATTATAGGTTGAAGCACTGTGTCTTATCAACGTGGTACCAACGACAGCTGGTTGGATCGAATACGGTTATCAAAAGCTAAATGCTAGATATTTGAAATCTAAAGGGATGACACAAGGGGTGATGGACTACTTGATGTGGCATCATTTTGGCAAAGTTAGTATTCTTTTCTGTTTATGTATTTGTATACCATAACCATGTGTCCATGTGTGCTCAGTGTTTGATGTGTCTACATGTAGTGGTGATGACTAATTTATGTTGTGCAATTGTTCAAAGGGCACCGAAGAAAGGAATCACGATTTAGCCAGAGTATACCGAGAGTATTTCGAACACAGTGTGCACCCAGGAAATTTGGCCGCGTTCATTGATTCGTATGTGAAACGGACGGATTTGCCAATCAGCAGAAGTACGCCTACCGTCGAATCGTTTCCGGCTGGTCGTAGGCCCAGCATGACCACCACGTTGCAGATGCCCATTATCAACGTGTGTGGTGCACTGTCACCACATCAAGAAGACACTGTAATACTGAATTCGAGACTAGATCCAACCAAGTCGTCATGGATGAAGGTGAGAGTTTAAATTTCTTATTATAACGTAATATTAATCACACACTAACGAAATTAAAGATTGTTTACAAATCTGTTATGTATCAAATGTCGTATTATAATCAGTCTTTTTCGGTAAAAGACATGCGAAGAGTATATTTTTCTACCACCACATGTTTTCTAGTTACTAGTTTTCTATTTCTTATAGGTCGCCATCTTTTTATTTAGGGTTGCATATGATTTAAATTTTAAATCAATACAAAAATTAAAAAGTTCCAATAGTAAAATTAAGTTTTAAAAAAATAAAACTTATAAATATTACCATATAATATAATACGAGTATATATAATCATATATTAAAACAGAAATTAACAGGACATTTCATCAGCTGTGAAAATTAGTTTAACAAAGTAAATTAAACCAATAATTGACGAATTAATTTCATATAAACAGCAACGACCAAGCCATTAAAAACCTTCATTTAAAAATATATTTATAGAATAAAATATTTGGTATAAGTTTTTTTTAATTAAAAATAATTAAAATATATGTATTTTATGTTTTTCGTGTACATTATACAGTGTGCAATGTACAGTACTTTTTTTATTAATTATTAATTTTTTTTAACTAGAATTTATACAATATATAAAAAAAAAATGTACAATAAACATAATGGATGTTTTCTTTAGTACAGTGGCTTAAGTGGCTTGATGGAAGAACCAACCAGTGAAGGCACTCCAACATGAATTAACATTTATTTAGATATTTAGATATTTATTTTAATTTATAAGGTCTGTATTAATTATTAATAATAGTTTATGCGAGTATATAAAAAAAATATATGTAGGGATGCTAAAAAATTGAAATTCCAAAAGGAGTTGCCGCGGTATAAAAATTGAGAAACACTGCTGTAGTAGATTGGTTAGGTTAGTTAAATTACTTTTAGTATTTTTAGCAGTTTTTATAGTATCGAAAAAGCAATTTTAACGGTACTCAACCAGAGGATTTTTGATTCAAACTTCTTCTTCTTCTTCTTCTTTCGGGCAAACAGCCACTAGGGCCATCCCGTCAAACACCCTTTACTCTAACCATCTCTGTCAGATAACCTAAGGCGATTACGTTTTTTTTAATCAGATCTTCCTACCTCTTGCGAGGTTTTCCTAACGGCCTCTTTCATGCTGGATCCTTTTCTAATACTGTACGCAGCAGGGTATTTTGACTACGCCAAGCATATCCAGCCCAATTTAATCTTTTACTCCTTAATGTCTCCAATATGTTCGGCTTTTGAAAGAGTAATTCTAGCTCTTTATTTGTTCTTATCCTTCACTCATTGCTAATGCTATCTTTCATTGGACCATCAATTTACCATAGAGCTTTTCTCCCCCATATTATCAGCTTTCTTTCTTCATATTTTCGTAGTGACCACGTTTCCGCTTCATAAATTGTAACTGTACACAATAATGTCGTATATAACTGTATCTTAAGCTCCCTTGATAAAGATCTTGATCATAATCAAACTAAGTTTGCAAATTATTTATCACCAGAAACTTGATAGTATTTTCGTATATTTTAACCAATTTTGAGTTAACTAAGTTTAGATATTAAACTTTTTAAACGTTGAATATTATGTAGTACTAAAATGCATACTATATTATATATTTTATAACTACATAATGTATAGAATGACAAGAAAACAGTACGGTTACATGTAAAATGTATCATGTAACGCTTTAAATACTACAAAAGGTTCGAATTATTAAAATAATGTATAAGCACTTACTGAGAGGAAAGAAAAATATCCATACAAAATAACGAAATTTATTACAAGTGATGATTACATAATATTAGGATATAGGAATACCGTCACAATAATATAGTAATACATGATCACTATATACATACATATAATATACGTATATTCTGGAATACAGTGTTAAAATGCAGTGATAACAAAAATTGTTTAATATTATGTGTTCGTGAAATTCGATCGACTGTATTATAATTATTATTGGAAGCGAGCGGTCTGCAGTAAGAGAGATAAAGAGAAAAAGAGAAATACTGTTGATACGCGTTAACGGTTCCACGTGTCTTTAATGAACCGTGCCGCCTTTTCTGCAACCATGACGATTGGAGCGATCGGATTACTGTTGGGCTGCAGGGGCAGGACGGACGCATCGACCACGCGGATGCCGTTGACGTTGTGCACCTTGAGCTGCGAGTCGACCACCGCCCCAGGATCGGACGCCGGACCCATCTTGCATGTGCCCGCGTGATGGTTCTCGCCCCGCGTGTGATACCTGATCAGGCACCGCCAGTACGGGTCCGTGGCGAACGTATGTTGCTGGCAGTGCTCGGCCGCCGTAGTGTCCATCGTGGCGCCCAGCTTCTGCAGTGCGCGCGTGTGTATCAGCCGGCTGGCCAGCTTCAAGCCCCACACCAACGGCTCGACGTCTGCATCCTCAGCCAGGTAGTTGGGGTCGATTTTGGGCCGGACGAACGGGTCCGCGCTAGCCAGCCGTATTGTGCCCCGGCTTAGCGGCATCAGGTTCACCGGCCTTACGTTCATCCTGACCAGTTCGGCGGGCGCGGTACATCCGTACGCGGGCTGCGCGTACGCGCAGTTGGGCGCGAACCCGTCGAAGAACAGCTGTACATCAGCGGGGTCGGTGGGGCCCACCCGGTCAGACCGCAGGAACGCGGATACCTGCAGCCCACCTGTCGTGGACAATGGACCGGCCCTGAGCTTCAGGTACTGGCCCAACGCCTCGTACGACAACTGCCGGTCGTGCGTGACGTTCAGCCGGAACCCCAGCCGGCTGGCCACGTGGTGCTGCAGGTTGTAGCCCACACGCAGGTCCTGCACCACCCGGATACCCAACGGCGCCAAGTCCTCCGCCGGCCCGATGCCCGACACCATGAGTAAGTGCGGCGACCCGATCACACCCGCGCTCAGGATCACCTCCTTCCGCACTAGCAGCCTCCTCGTGTTGTTCGTCCGGTCCACGTACTCCACGCCGTACACCGTCCGCGTGGCCGCGTTCACCAGCAGTCGGGTCGCGTGACAGTTGATCTTCACCCGGAGGTTGCGGCGGCTCCTCAGGTGCGGCCGCAGATATGCCGTGGCCATGGTCACGCGCGTTCTCGCTGGGCTGATCATCGCCTGCGCCAGCGAGAAGCCCATCGGGTCCGCCTCGCTCATGTCTATATGCTCGTAGCCCAGCTCTTTGCCCGCCTCGATCAGCGTCCGTGATATCGGCAACACGTCCGTGGGCATCTGCACCGGAATCGGGCCTCCCGTCCCGTGTACTTGGCTCGTGCCGTAGTCTCTGTTGTTCTCGGACATCTTGAAAAACGGCAATACGTCGTCGTAACCCCACCCGGGATTGCCGTTCTTCAGCCACCTGTCATAAATGGACCGGTGTCCCCTCGAATACATCGACCCTGAAATGTTCCAAGAATGCCGATTATGTGCTTACAACCGTGTGGTGGAAAAAAAATTTCGATATTCCAGTGTGGCTGAGAGTCTCGTACAGCCGAGCGACCGCTCGGTGTATTGAGCTGATTTTATGATACACATTTCACCGCTCATGCGTGTTTTACAAAAAACGTGTGATACCATCACGTCCCACAAATGGTTGTTCTTCGTTTACTACCTATATCAAATCTTGGACACATGTTTTTGTGCTTACTATTTCACCGTAGGAGTCACCGTCCGAATCGGTAACCATCCGTTCAAAAGTTTTACGGAATCAACGCGTTTGTACTATCCAATGATATCATATTTACCATACGGTAAACATTAAAGTCGTCTCATGGTTCGGCCCATCGAAGATAGTCGTTTTACGCGGTACGGTGTTGTGCGAACCCGGTCGCGGTCCGATACGTGCGTGTTAGTCACTTTTCACTCACCCGATAGAACCGCGGTTCCACCCAGCACCTTTCCCCGGGGCCAGCCGCACACCCCTCCGTAAGCCAGACAAGCGTTCTTCTGCGGCACCGTACTATATTTCCAATCGTATTTCGTCGAGATCGCCGAGCTCAGCAGGGCCGGTATGTCAGTGGCCGCCGGCTGCTCCGGACCAGATTCCAAAAGGGTCACCGTCCAGTTCGGGTTCTCCGACAGTCTCCCAGCTATTACAGGACCTGGAAACACGCGTCGGTGAGGTCAGGGGCGTATTTTAGGGAGGAAAAGGTGAGATCTCCCCCACTAAATCCGTATTTAAGGAATCGATTATATGTGATATACACATTTCAAATTATTTTTAATATAGATCATTTTATAACGAAATCATATTACGCGTGGCTATAAATACTGAATTAGGCTTTTAGCCGGGTCCATACTTAGTGAAAAATCAAATAAACACAATTGTAACTTTTAAAACAAAGTAGGTGTTAAAAAGGAACTACACAAAATTCGATTCTAAGTGGATCCGGCATTAGATTAAAAAAAAAAACAACAAATATTAAGGATTCACCAGATTTAAGTATTACCAACAATTTTAATCGTACATTTTGAGCATGAATTAAAGAAAAAATTTGAGTCCCCCCCCTCTAAAAGTAAGTCTAAATACGTCCCTGGGCGAGGTATTGTTATAACACGGTTTGTGTAATCGAAAAATGTGACCTGCAACTCCTCCTCCGACCACAACGAAATCGACTTCTTCTTCGTCCGCGTTCGGTTGCTCGACTACCCTTCTGCACGAGTCGATTAAATAGCAATCAGATCTTATCAAAATATCGGCGGCGACCATGAATTCTTCCAAATGAGGATTCGATCTGCACAACTCCCTTATGAACGACGGTTCGACGTGCATGTTGTTTTGTACGCAAAACCCTAATAATTAGATGTTTTGAATGATTAAATTGTTTTAATTGAATTTAAAACGTAAAAACCTTTATCGTTTGAATAGGTGTCCGCCAGCACAATTAGCACTTGGCATAGCACCAAGAAAACATTAAAAATCATTTTCATACTTTTTAATTTTTATAAAAAATAAAAATTGAATTATTTTAATCCTTTAAAATTCTAAAAAATCGAAATTCGTTTTACATTGGGTAGTCGCTTATAAATAACTACTTGTGTCACAAAATACTAATACGTCTGGTTTCAAACAAAACGTTGAACATTATATCATAGTTTATATTAATTAATTGTTATAGATACCGTTTAGGGAATCGTAGAAGTGTGACGGCATTTATGTTAATACAGTATATTTTTCAGATACACAGTAGTGGTATTTAGTTTAACCATTTGTCTATCTCCTTACAGTTTTCATGCTAATCCAAACGATAAAAATATGGGTCACTCATAGTATAATTGTTTTACATACTTTTACTTATTTATTATTTGTGAATGTTTTAATCTAAATGTGTATCACTTTCAAGGTAGTAATTTGACAGTTTTTATGTTTGTTAATAAAACCACGGGAATATTCACTTTCAAACGTTTTTACTGGAATTTAAATTTTTTTCCCCCAGCATTTCATGTTGATTCAAGTTAACCGTGTTGTTTCATTAAATCAAATTTTGCCAGTATTGGTAACTGTATTCGTAGTTTTTTTTTATATATTAGTGACAATTCTAATAATATTCATTTATTTTATTGATATATTTTTATTTTTACTTCAATTAAACATTTTAGACTGATATCTTATAATTTATAATATGTTTATTACTTAAACATACAATAAAACGTAAGCATTAATATTTATAATTTATTATTTTATCTTATGTATTTTGTCGAAAAAATGAAAAAATATTACGTTGTAACTCTGCAAGCTTTGGAATTTGCACTTTATTATTGCAATCTATTATTTAAGCTTATTGTGAAAATAATTAAATACAGATTGTGTAAAACATATAAATTTAACGTAAAAATAAATTTATTCAGCTATAATGAAAAATAATTACAAAAATAAAATAATATTTAACATATTATCTAGTTTTTATATTAATAGCATACGTTATTAAAAGATATTTTAGCAAATTGTCAATGTACATTAAATTGCTATGGCAGTTAAGTATTTATTCATGTTTTATAGATAAAATAAATAAAATATTCCTCGTGCATGATTATTGAATCAAGGTCGACCTCAAACAAAAGTTTAAGGATTTAAAGAGAGTGTCTGTACACTGTATTAGTCATACTCATCACTCATCATAAGACCGCGAAAAAATAAAAGAAATATCTAAGTGTCGATTTCACTTTTGATTTTATTTTTATACTACAAATCAATTAGCACATAATAATTTAAAATGCAGACAAAATATATTTTAGAAGATCTAAATATTTAACACACTTTGTTAATTTAAATTTACAAAATTGTTAAACAATAGCACTAACCTGGTTTTGATCTGAAGCTTGTAAAATCTAAAAGACGAAATTTGGAATATTATAGCGATTACTAAAAATATTTGCTATAGAAGTTAAACGTATTTACCTTTATACTTTGTATGCTTCGAAATTGCAATTATATTAGATATTTGAACCAAAACTTGCAAGTAAAAAATAACCATCATAATATGTATTTATGGTTTTTTATTTATTATTTAAGAAGGTAATAAAATTGAATAAGTTTCTATTGTGTTTTAAAGAAATTACTGACCAAAAATTGTTGTATTGATGCGAAAATACAGAAATAACTAGAAACACTGAAAACATAAAAGAAACGTTTATTACATGTTATTACAATATTTACTGTTGGCGTTCTATCTGAAATACGTGCAATATCTATTAGATAAAAACATTTGTAGGTAATTGTTTATTTTAAAAACATTGCGATCAAACCTAAGTGCGTGGAATAAAAAAAATTTAATTTTAGTTTTTATTCGATTCAATTTATATTCGTGTCATTAATAACGTTTACTTATGATTTTACCTTTTAGTATTTATAAATTCAATTGAAAAACGTTACTTATTTTATTCACTATTATTATTGTTTTCGATTTTTTCTTAGGTATCTGATTGTAGCATGGTGCTGGAAGAAGTGCCTCAAAAAATGTGTGAAGCGTTGCGGCTTTTCCTCCAAGGACTCGGTTACGGTAAGCCAAACCAGTCTTCGTGCACAGTAAAATAAGCGGAAGTTTTCTTTTTTGTCTAATGCTTCAACATTCATAAATAAAATTATCGGAGAACTACCTAACCAATTTGTAGTCGTAATTAATTCACACATTTGTACGTATTAATCATTTTAATCACAATGTGTCGTTTATCTGTTTTTTTTTTTTATTATTTATTAATTTAATACATTAGCAATAATGACAACGATCTATAGAGGTGTACGATTGTGTTGGGACCCCATTACAATTTGTCAATAAATGAAAAAAGTTAGTGCATTCGGATTTGTATTGAAAATAATAAAAATCTTGTTAGATGATTTCTTGTTGTTATTCTATGCATTTTTTTTTTTTTACAAAGGTCGTGAGCTTTTTGCCGAGTAAAATTTTTTTGAATATTTGAATACGATTATAATCATTAATAGCAAGATAATTATAAGGTTCACATCATTGTCATATTAGCACATAGCAAATGCATTTGGCATAAATCTACTTATTGCATTTCCTTAGTAAGCACTGTTGAAATCAAAGCGAGTGATTTAGAGGGAAAATAAAATAGACTATCAGTGATTTCGCCAGTATATGTATATAGGAAAATTAATTAGAGAAAAAAGACATTTATTTTGTTTATTGCGCAAAAATAAGGTGTAAGCCATTATGTGTAATATAATACTAATAATTCAACAAGATATTCGATTTGGTCTGAATCACTGGGCGGAACTCTTTTCGCCCAAAAATGACCTTCCTCTTTTTGCCCACGTCCTCTTTTCGACCAAAAATGAAAAAAAAGTTTCCTCTTTTCGCCCAAAAATAATTGTATTCTTTTCACCCATGGTTTCACGTTTTACATTTTGGAAACCACTTTCTCGAAATTAATAATTTTTAAAAAATCATATTTGATATTCGATAAAATCACGTTTTTGATTGTTATTAATATAGTCAGTCGAGAAAAGTGTATAAAGGTGCCGACTCTTCTATCGAAATATATAGTTTAAAACACTTTAATAAACGTTATAATTACTTAAAAGTCATAATTAATATGAATATTTGTATTATTTTACAACAACAAAACAAACTATTTATTTAAGTAGTAACCTGATTAAATTACTTATTAATTATTTTACATCGATAACACTATTTTAAATACTTATTTTTAACACTTATTAAATTATTATTAATAATTATATATTTATCTATTTTTTTATTTGATTATTATATGATTTTTTTAAAAATTATTAATTTCGAGACAGTGATTTCCAAAATATAAAACGTGAAACCATTTGCGAAAAGAATACAATTATTTTTAGGCGAAAAGAGGAAACTGTTTTTTCATTTTTGGTCGAAAAGAGGACGTGGGCAAAAAGAGGAAGGTCATTTTTGGGCGAAAGGAGTACCGCCCGAATCACTCGTATTTTATAATATATATATTGTAATAAAATACTTTTTTAACTAATTATTTACTTCAGTTTATTTTAGGTTCATTAGAGATCATTTGCTGTTTGATTTCCCATTATCTATATAATATAATAATAAAATAATATTAAAAAAATTTAAATAAGAACGTTACCCACGTATTGAAATTTAAACGATTATCCTAATACGTGGTTTTGTTTATTTTTTAAAAAAAAAATTAAGTATATAAAAATATCCGTTAAGTAAATTAATCGACGTGCAGTTAATAAGACGTAGACATGATTTATGTGATTTATTTTTGTGTTACTATTATATTGCAGCTACAAACAAAATAACATCATAGGTAAAACGTTAAAGTGAGTACTCGTATTGCAATATTTAAGTACATACCACTAAAGATTTAGGGTTTTTGTTTAAATAATAAAACATCAAAAGCCAATTTTTATAAGACTGTGACAACATATCAATAATGAATGTACTTTAGATCTTAAAAAAAAAATTGCTCAAAGTATGTTATTATGATAATACCTATCTAAAATGATCTAAAATGAAGCCATGACATTTCTAGTAAAGAAATAAAATAAGTTCTTGAATTAAGTATTTCTAAAAAAAAGTTCTATGTTAAATAAAATAAATATATTTTGGGATATTATTAAAATAAATAAATTAAAAATCTTTAAAGTTTAAGAATTTTAAAAACACATTTAAAAACCTATTTATATTACACTGATAGTTACTATTTATAAATATCTATAATTTGACTTGTGATCAAATCCTAAAATATTAATTAAATAAAATTACATTTATTATTAAGTAAGTTCTCAAAACAAAAATAAAAATAATAAGTTAGTGTTTTTGATTAAAAATTAACTTAAAATCACTTCGATATTACGTAAGTACTGTAATAATATTTATTATAACTATAATTTTATAAATATTAACTTAATTGTTTCATGAATTCCTGAATTTATTAGATTTTAATAATTTGTTTGAGCATTATATTAATATATTTCAGGTATATAACGTAATGTTATAGGGTATATTTAACCATAAAATTATTTATTTATTTTTTACTTATACAAAACACACGTTAATATTTATTATTTACTTAACAATTTATGCGATTTAGTATGTATATAATTATGTTACGGTGAAAGACGTTAACGTGGTGAATGACGTAATTTCCCTGAAAATTGATAAATGTTGCAACTGTATACATTCGCTAATTAGTACTGATAAAACCAGTTAAGTCAGAAAATGACATATTTGATACGAATTGACCAATCATACTAAGAATGTTAACTTAATTTGAGCAACTCACACTAAGGTAGGTGCAATTTTTGATTTTGCGAAAAAAATTAAAATTTAGATATTTAAGTATTTTCTTTTATTTTTCAATTACGACTCAGTAAGGTCATCATGCCACGTGCCGGGTGAGTCTTATTTATGGACGTCCAGTAATTATAGGATGTGACGTAGCTTCGTTTATCAAAAATATCATAACAAACGTAGATAGCTGAACAAAAACCTAATCTTATAACTGTTGATAATTATTTTAATTCCTACTTGTAATATTAAATATTTTATTATTATGTATAATGCAGCCATGATCAATTGAACGGGCGAATAGAGGTGTAGAAGAAATATTAGCTTCATATATAGCTGATAATAAATCAAAAAACTGAATAATGGCATTTAAATGTATGGCATGTAATGTATGCAGTTCTAAAAAAATCGGGATATCTCGGGAAGCTATTGAATGATATGTGTACAGTGAGGATAGGATTGCGTTCAATATGAATCGCCTATGTTGAATGGTTATTATTAATTTATGTGTATTAACGTAGTAAAATATTTATTTGACTTATTATTATGAAAAACATTAAATATCTCGACAGTTTTAGTAAATGACGTCGTTGACCGATTCGCGTAGTACATTTGAATTTAAAATGCTCTTTTTTACAACATTTACCTACATAATTGAATGATTTTGGTAAAAAGACCTCATTTACTGGCATATGACGAATTTTACCAATGATCGTCTTTCATCGTAACAAATATTTTACAACGTGAATCAATTGCCATAGAATAGCTAACTTTAACAATGTCTATCAAACGTAAAAAAAATTGATCATTCATAATAAAATGTTATGAATTATTATAATCATACAAAATAATAATTTATCTGACCAGATATTGATGATTTTATTTACGCTAATGTAATGTAATATAAAAACGGTTTACGTTCATGGTGAGAATGGTTTTTATTTCTTTGTTCTATAGAATAACATTTCATGATTTACGAGCTGGATAAGATGTTATTTATGTACCCAGCATTTCAAATAATTGCGCCTAAATTATTTTTAAAATTAATCGCAACTTAAAGAATCTCATATTGAATCATGAATAATGCAGGTTTAGTCTCGATTTGTTATTCGTTAATTCAGTTAATCATTATTCATTATGCGATCGAAAATTTAGATTTACAACAAATTTCAACATTTTAAAACTTTGTGACTTGCTTCTGGTAGCTCCCATACTCACTCTTTAGTGAAAGCCCATTTTATTCTTTCACGGTTTTCATTTTTAACAATGGTGTATTTATTATTCGATCGATTTCCTGTTCTCAATATAACAAAATGTAAATACGCTTCTTCCCATTTTTATTTAAAAGTAATGTTAAAGCGTTTTTAATAAATATATATACAAACGTAAATAAAAACCGGAAAAACTAAAAATTAAAGGACATTGTGGTAGTAATAATTATTGACTGTAAAAAATGTACAATGTTTGTAGTATATTTTTATTTTTTTTTTAATAATAAATAATAACTTCAGCCAATGCCGGTCTTACAGTAGGTTACCGTATGTATCGAATTTCTCGTCTAAAATCCATATGTACTCCAATTTTTATTATCGTATATGAAAGCTCGTTGATTTCACCAACAACAAAAGAAACTTTTAAAATATAAACATAAAATCTTAAAAAAATATGGAATTTAATTCTCCTTAATCAATATAACTCATGATTTTTGTAAACGTACATCAATATTATAAGCCAAGTCGGTACACTGTAGGTACAGCCGACCATCATAGTGAAGTACGTACACGTAGATCAGCAATGAACTAACATAAGTACACAAATGACTATACAGTAGTACACAATTGTATGGCTTTCACGAAAACCGCATTATAATGTATATTATATTATATAACTAACAAGTATTTTGAAAAATAACAGTTTTCAAGAAGTTTTAATTTTGAAAAAAAAAATAATAATAACAGTGATGAGTACGCAACAGACCGCCGCTGACCATAACACAATATTCTCATTAACATTAATAATAATCGTTTGGTAGCAATTTTTCGACGTGATCACATACGCGTTGTTCGTTGTTAGGTATATACATAACGCGGCGCGAAATCGCGATGGGAATTAAAACGTAATCGCTGCGTAAAAATCGCATTTCGTATTTCTTTCGAACGCAATTTATTATGCTCGCAGTCTACGTATTAATAAATATCAAAACGAGCGTCGTGACGCGTTGCATTGTATGACGTGTAACGCGCGATGATGATAACTAACGTGCCCGTTTCTGCGCGTTATAGTATAAACGTATAATATACGCGCGCGCACCGCTCGTTTTATTAGGTATAAGCAGCAAATAAATAACACCGCGAACGAGGGAAAACGTTTATGCGCATGATGACGCGCAACACGTATTATATCGTTATTATTATTATTATAATTATTATTATTACGCGACGGTGTCGTGTGGGATTAAAACGCTAATGGAAGGGAAGGGACAGAAGAAAAATAACAAGTGAAAAATCGCTCTAATCCGAGCGGAAAGCATCGCAAAGTCAAAGTCGTTTTACAATTGTTACCAGTGGCGGTTTCCTCCTGCTTAAAAACGTATATTTGTGTCAGTGGCGCGACCTAGTCGAAAAATCTCGGGGGTGTGCATCATTGTGTAGCTATTATCCGAGAACAAGATTAATTGATGTCGAAATAGCCGAGTCCTCCCCAGATCACCCCGACCCTTGTTTCGCGTACAGGAGGTCAATATTATTATTATTGTAGATGTCCGTCGTCGAACGCGATCCTACTTCGACCACGCCTGTACATATGCCGTGGCGATGATGCTGCAGATTATGTGTATTCAACCAGTAGCATTACAATTGTTTACTATTCGATAAAATTTAAACAGCATGGGTTTACGTAATAGTTGTCGCTGAAGGGCGGACTGCCACGCTTTCGTACGGGAAAACACGTGGTAGTCATCTTTTTGACGGGAATGAGTTTTAATTTTTGTACTATTGTAGATGTTTTTTTTTTCTCACCTGATCTAATTATCGATACAAATAATAATAATAATATAATAATAATATATATAATATATATATATATATATATATAATATATAATAATAATCGATATAATAATTACATGTTGTACATGCGTGCGCAGTACGCACGGAACACTGTTGTACTGCGTATAACACAGCGATTGGGCGCCGGATGTCCGCGGTGATGGAGTCACGGGCGTGGGCGAACTTGATTTTATCTATCGAATAAGAGGAGGGGTAATAAGCAATTAAAATTATTAAGGGTGAAAATGTAATTATTGGCCGAGACCTTGTTGGTTTCAGCTACATGATGGCCCTGATGTTTCTTCACTTCGTAACGTATACGATATCGTACACACTTCTGGAAGCGAATCGAGCAAAAAAATATGCGAACCTGGGGGGAAGGAGGGAGTTGACCCAAAATCGACACGACCCTTCGTGCTACGCCATACTATACAGGACGAGAATTCGGCGCCCATCTCGGCATGTAATAGTAAACACGACGCATTACATTCCGTCGTGTCTTATACAAATATACATCAATACATTGTGCATATATTATAATAAATATTTATTTACATGTTTTTTGTCCCGTACATGTTTTGTGTGATGGTACCGGCAATTCCGGCGGTCGCTAGCTGTGAGACTCGGCCGGCCACCGTTGACCGTATCCAGATCGGCTGAAGGTAAAAATGTAATAGCTAATACATTTAGCGCACGGATGCACGAATAGTTAGCGCACGCACACACCAAATACCACCCTCTCCCAACCGCGGGCAAATTGATCGAAACAATATATCAGCTTCGAGAAACGAAATTTGTACATGTAAGTGTCATAACATGAATGCTTGTCGGAAGAAAACGGTTTTTTCAACGTTTCTATATACATATATAATTAAAAATATGTATATAAATATATATATATATATACGTATAAATATATACATATATATTTATATATTTTGTATACTTTGTACTATACGTAATCGTATTGTATATTATATTGTTATAATTAATAATACATATATAAATACCTGTATACTTATGTATACTTTCGAGTATAATCTACTCATGACTGTCATTCTCTCACCCTCTCTCTCTTTTTCTGTTTTTCTATTTCTTTTAAAACATTTATACATAATATAATAATGTATATTATGCATATGTTATTTTTATACATGTATGTATATGAAACGCTTTGTTTGCAAACACACATAATTTACTACAACAAGCATATTTGTGTAGAGATATACATAAAAATAATATATATTTCAATAACACATAAAAACACATAATAATCCTCTTCGACTTTTCATTTTTTTAATAACAATTTTAAAAGATTTTTAACGAATTCCTTATCAACACGTATAAAACGTTCCCACACAAACCTCTCTATCTCATGTATAATACTATATGGAAATAAATACAAATCACAAGTGTAATGTAATAAAATCTAGCTAAGAAGTATACTGCGTAGTATGCTGAACGATTTTCCTCCTTGGTCGGAAAAATGTTATCATTTTGTAATGACTAAAATATATTTTGCGTAAGCCTTTATATTAAATATAACGATACATTTTATTCAGTAATCAATTTTTTTTTTTTTTATTAAAATATTCATATTAATGAACCAACATCTACCACCATCCTTGTTTTTATTATTTCATAATCTTTTTTTTTTTTTTATAATGTACTGTTTGAGATTTATCATCGAAAATCAAAGATGAATTGTTTATACTAATTATTAAATGTCATTTATATAAACAGCAAATAAATATAAAATATATAATATTTGTATTACTTAAATATTACTCATATTATATAATAATATTAATATTATTATATAAATATTTAAATAGTTTTGGATTAAAAGAAAAATTGCAATTTATTTAACATTTAATCGTTACTTTATTATTTATGATGTTCTTTGTCTATTGAAAATTATTTATGCTAATAATTTTGTTCGTATTTTTATTTTTACTGATTTTATTGTTTTTAATTTTTTAATTATTAATAAATTCATTTATTTTAAATCTATTGGTTTTTATTATAAATATTGTTTATCCATCACTTGAATACTTTTAATCAAGAGGACTAGTAACATTTTTTTCCAATAAATGATTATCAATTTTTAATTATATTATAAATATTATTGAAAAAGTCCTAAGGATAATTAATATTGAGTACTTGTATATTATTTGGTAAAATTTACCATTTTCACAGAATCTAATAAATTAAACATTATCTCAATAATAATAAAAATAATATACTAAGACGTAAGTAATTTGATTCCTGAATATGTTTAATATTAAAATAAATGTTTACATGAACTATATTAATTGTATCTACTAAGCGTTTCATAGCATTATTATTGAAGAATATAAAGGTAATAAAACCATAATATTTAAGTCATTGATTATCGCTTCAATTTTTTATTAACATAATATAATAAAAGATTAATATTATCATTTTTTATTAATTGCCTTCGCGGAAATTTAATACTGTTTTCATTCATTTTTTTTTCAATAAATTAATTTAAACTATTATTAATTCTTATAATTATGCTTATGTATTTGTTTTAGTACACGGTTATAATCAATTATTTGATGCAAACTTTTGCAGTAGCAATTTTTATTCTAAATTATTACACTAAAATATATACTGTAAAAATATATTTATGTTATTTTTATTTTAACATCATTACTTTATCTTATGTTTATAATAATTATTTATTATTTTATTTATTTATTTTTCAACTTATCTAATTTTTTAATTTATTGGAATTATAATAAAAGTTAAAGTAAAATTGTTGATTATAGACTAAAAAAATGTTAATTTCATACTCAAAGTATAAAAACGTATAACATTATATTGCGTTACCCAAAAGTACATACAATGCTATATAGGCGTATGATTAAGATATTAGAAAAATGTTCGATCGACCGATCATTGTCAAAAATTTATAATTTGATCACCCACAGTGATAATTTTATGGAATCTAGAAAAGTGAACTATCTCCTTTGAATTTTCTTCAATTCTGTGTATGCATAGTTTACTTTTGCTAAAGTCGTATCATGAAATTTACAACACTACTACTTATTTTCATCATGATATCAAAATTAAAATAACTCAGCAGTTATACTTAACTTAATTAACGGCATTTTTAAAATAAAAAATATGCATACAACTAATTATTTTCCTAATATTAGATTATCTCGCATTAATCCCATACGAAAAACATATTATTTCAATATAAAAATGTAATTTAAATATTGAAAAGTTAAGAAAATTAATACAAATATATATTTAAAATGTATATGTATAATATACATACCTATATATATATATATAGCTAGGTATTATAAATCTTAAATAATCTTGTCATATGGCATAAGTGAAATGTAAAATAATACTTTGTCAGTTTCAATATAAAACAAATCCCTTGCAGATTAAAATAAATATTTATAATTTTATTAGAAACGGACGAAAAACGTTTCATTATCATATAATTGTTGTTTGTATAATTTTGTGTTTAATTAACGAATATCAGATTATAAAAAATATAAAATACGTATAAAATTTAATAACGATTCTAGTTTAGACGAAAATTTGTCTAAAACAACATTTTCTAATAACATTAATATCAAATTAATTAATTTACTGAATCAGAACTGAAATCAAGCACCTTACAAATCACTGATGATTTATTCACTAACACAATGTGGTAAATGTATATCCATGTTCAAATAAAAGTATTTGTCTTAACAAATTAGGATTGAAGAATGATTTTTCAAACTTTTGCATGAATATTATAATAATATTTCATTATACATTGTAGATATGGAATAGATTATTAATAATTATGCATAGCAGTGTTTATTTCAGACCTTTTATCCCGGGTGATAACCAAAATTTTCGGGAAGGGGAGGGATATGTGGTATATGGTATGTCATAGGAATATAAAAATTAACAAATAAATAAACTTTTTCGGTAAGGTATTCATTTTTCTTTGAAGATAATTGCCCTCCGATCACCCACATGAAATAAACACTGATGTGCAGTGTTTTTAAATTACATTTTTAAAGTTAATTATAAAAGTATTTATTTTCTTTGATTATTTAAGGTTAAACAGGTTTTTTTCTTTGTTTAAACATATTTAACCTCTTGATAAGACATCTTATTATATTATAATATTAATTTAAATTTGTACTCTAATCATATTTTATTATTATTATTATATTTATTTTTTTCTTTGATTATAGCGTGTTATTATGAGTTAACATTTTTTTTTTTTCGTAGCTTCAAAACTAGTTTCAAAAATATTGTTTTCCATACACACTCTATAATTTATTTTTAAGATACAGAAAAGCTTTCACGTATGTAAATAATAATTTATAATTTTTCATAAAATATTTAAATTCAATTTTTAATAAATGTTATGGTATTAGTATTCACTTTTTGTCATAATATTTAGACCATAACGTTCCTTATGTTCCCAAAATAGTCTATAATATCGCCTTAAGAATACATTTGGTGTGGTAAAACATGCATATTTCATCTATGTAGGCATTCTGTGGTGTACCGGACAATTTTAATATTTTAATAAATCAAAAAATTTAAATATAAAAAAAAAATGTCTAGATAAAACACTTTTACAATACAGAATTTACACTAAATGTCAAAAAAAAAATGCATTACTCATACAAAACGAATTACTTTTTTTTGTAACAATTGTAAACAAAGGTATAAATTACAACACACACAGTTAACTCTCGAGCAATATTTCGATTACTTTATTATATTATTATCTGTTTGCTAAAGGACGTTGTTCACACAAGTGAAGTATTTTAGAAGTAATTTGACATAGGTAGCCTTTTTTTTTTTTATTAGATACATAATGTTTTCTAAGTAGTAATGTTGCATGGTTTAGGAGATTAGTTTTGCAAATAGTCTCTCCTTCGATTTGAACTCGTAGATTTTCGTCGACGTACACGTATACTATAATTTACACCTACCTATATATTTTTCAATACACGTATACCTAACCGAAAAATGTTTAATCGGCACACCTTGTAATACAATACGACGTAGCTACTATATTATATTGTTAATAATATTTTCAAAATCGTTGCATGCGTAATACGATTACTATTATAACAGTAGTATAGTCCACGTGATGATAACACGATATTTTTGGGTTTGGTGGAAGAAAAATAACTTTTGTTTTACTTTTTAATTGCAATATCTATTTTTATTTTTTATTTATTTTTTTTTTTTTTTGAAATATAAACGGTAATGTTTATGTTTTGCGCACGGTGTCCCAGTCGTAACGAGAATGCCGCACACGTGCACTCAGTCTAATGATTGGCCGTCGAATTTTTTCAGTGATATCCAAATCCATTAAACAGTCCGCGTCCAAAGACAGCGTACGCAGTTCACCATGGCCGTTCAGAATCACCGAAAACCCGCTGACGGCATGATGATTTTGCATCCGTGTGTGGTGGTCGCGTTCGATGAGGCAAGAGGTTGGTGCTATAGCAACAGTTCTACAATAATTAGGTATATGCATACATACGGTTATACTAAAATAATATACGTACCACTCGTGTTTTCGTTTCTCGAGTCGTGTCCGCGAAGTCATAAAAAAAAAAAAAATAAATAAAAAATAAAAAAAACCGGACCGTTACCGATTAGTCGAGAAAAGACTTCATGCGTTATGATGTATATATATATATATATTATTGTATACCACCAATACGTTGGTCTGGCTAGGTGTATTATTTTGTGTAGAAATTGTTTTTTAAAAAAAAAAAAAAAACGAACAGTACATATAATGTGACGTTAGGTATATACATATATATATATATATATATTGAAACTCATATCATCAAAAGCTTCAGACGTAGTTTTGGCTGAATGGAGGAAATACACCCCATTACATGATATACGCCTAAGAAAAATAAAAAAATAAAAAAAATTAATAATCGTATATTCGAATAATAAAAAAAAAAAAAAAGAAAAACGTTAGTTTGATAGACTGCACAAACACCTGCGCTTTTTTATTGTTTATTTTTTATTTTTATGTTGTTAATTATTGATGTTTATAGTTTGTTAAGTGTTGCTGTTATTAAATCAGTGTTATTGTACACACAACGGCCGCTACCGTTCTGTATAATAAAAATGCATTGTGATAAGTAACAATAACAATAAAATTAATTATACATATTTTTAATTTGAATTGTTGCGTATGTCTTTAAAACATTATTACATTGATAACCGTTGTTCTTTATTTATACCTGAAATCACATATTATCCAATACAACTGTACGTAAAATATATTTTTACAGTGGCGTATTAATGATTCCAGTTTGCTGACACACATTTTGTCGACACCTATTTTTAATAACTAAATTAAAAAGAAGAAAAAATATTTAAAAAAAAAAAAAAAAGACGCATTTCACTGCGTCAATATATTTAAATAAAAATAATATCGTCTGAATCCTAAGAATATAATAATTATCTACTACGAACTAGGTTTACGTATATTTACGTTTTTTTTTTACAAATAATATTCATCACTCCATAATAATAATATATATAAGTATATTTAAGTACCTGTAAACACTTAGTAAAATATTAATACGAGTTATAAATCATAGTTTTTAATTATAAGATTACATTTGATACACATGAATACATTTACATCCATAATGCTGTCAACAAACAATATCACAATTTCATGATACAATTTTATCATCTCGCTGAACTTTAATCGTAGGTAAATTCTTAAAAGAAATAAACCAATAATTTAATAAAACATAACATAATTCCATAATAATATGTCGATAAATTATAAATTTTCAAAACAGCTTTTTTTCGACGAATTGTACGTAAACTATTACATTAATTTTTATTATGTTCAGTGTTCAAATTATCCCAAACGAACGCTGAATAACCATAACAATTTAATAAAATGGCCATTTATCGGGACACACGTTGAGAATAAAGAAATTTAACTGTATTGAATTAATGATATTTGGAATACCTATGTATACAATTAAACATATATATTCCACAAATAAGCACTGACCAGTATTTCTAAAGTCTTGTATATTCTATGTATGTTCTACGAATTATGGAAATTACGGTAATGTATGTAAATAACAATTTAATATAAATGCAATTGATTACAGGATTATATAAAATACTTTCATAAATTACCGCACTTGAAGAATTTTTTTTTTTTACTTACGATTTAATATTGAAATCCAACTCTAATAACATATGATGAAAGTTTACAAAAGAGTAGTACAATTTAAATTTAAATAACAATTACAAAACAATTTTTGTGTGATTAGACTATGATAGATTAAAATTTTTGCTTTTGTGGTATAGAAAACATATTTTTATTTTGGACATTTGCTTGGTAATTAATTTATAGTAGTTAAGAAAAAAGATTACCTACCACTCCAATTTTTATTATCCTTTATTGTAAAAACAAAAATTTTTATCACACCAAAATTCTTAAAGAGTTTGAGTGCATGTATCGTCATTGCAATTTGTATAGTAGTAAATTGCTTTGGAGACATGAAAATAAAATAAAAACACTTAAGGATATTATATATTGGTGAGTAGTAAGACACATTATAAATATAAATCATAATATACTCCTTGTAAATATGTGTATAATGAAATTCAGTTTTATTTATTATATAATTTTAATATAATAATCAATAATGTTGGAGAGTGCACGAAGACAAGAGTAAACCAATTAAATCAACAAAGCACCACTTCTTATATAATCTCTTAAAATGTTTGAGTTATTTTTATTTAAAACTATGTTTTGTAACAATAGCTACAGCATTTAACTGTTTTCCAATAATAAATCCCTATTGTTGATTTATTTTTTACAGCAGCTGTTACATCGACGAAAACAATTTATTTTTATAACATTTTTTGACAAATATCGCTAATATTTGAAAAATCATAGTATGCAGCAATTACACTTAAATACTTACTGCCGTCACATAATTGATGAAATGAAACAATGGCATTTGACAATCATCTAGATTGCGACGATTGACCATTGAAGTCATAATATTTATAAAATTCAAAAAATAAATTGATTTATTGTATCGGTGATTGAACTTTTATCATTCAATAAATATATATTAACCAAATAGTAAGTTTCCTGAAAAGTGTATCAGCTGTCTAAAACATGACTCATTATAGTCACTATCAAACGCGAACAAATTAGAAAATTACTATCTCGATTTATCTGAAAATTTGTTAATTAAATTAATAGTCCTTAATAATCATTCAAAATTACTATGGTCAGTGGCGTATTTAGGAATTTTGCTAGGGGGGGGATGAAATATATAATAATACATCCTAACACCCATAAATTCGTACATAATATACATTTTTAAAATCCCCTAACTTGTTACCTATTGAGGTTAGTGTGGATCAAGGCAAAATAAGAATTAATCTTTATAATTACCTCATCATTTTCCAAACAAATTTTTTATTTGTACTAAAATAAGAAAATAAAGTTTTTTTTTGTTTTTGAGTATTACTCATATTGTCTTAAAACTTCACAGTTACAACTTACCAGACGCAAAAAATAAAGTCGAACAATAGTCAATTCGGCAGTAAGTCAGTACTCGGAATGGCGCGGCGTCGCTATCCGTCAACGTCCAACGACTGTACATATCTACTTATAACGAATCACGATATCATACGACAAAATATATATATATATATAGCTATACATTAGCCATAAATCTACTAGTAACAAATTTTCTAAAAATAAACCCGCCCGGCCGCCCTATGGTTAATCCACGGTCTTCATGGTCATTTTGTTTTGTTTACCGATTGCTTATCGGGTTTATTATAAACACTCTTGCATGAAAAATAATTCGCAGAAACGTACAAAATACAGTACACCATAATATAGGTATAGTTTTTGTTGCCTGATAGTCGTACATGCCGCCAACGATAAACGATTAGTGGCGATTAGTATATCAGACTATCAGAGCGGTACAATTACCATGACTAGAACATTTAGAAAACAGAAAACATACATGCTTGAAAGTAATATCATATTAAGAATATTAGAGAAAATGAGACAACTTATAGCTACTTAGGAAAAAAAAAAAGGTCAAGGGGGGGGATCTATCCCCCATATCCCCCCCCGTAAAAACGCCACTGACTATGGTGGTGTAAAATGTTTACAAAAACTATCAATAGATCGTAACTAAATGTTTTAAAATCAACAATTGTATAGTATACGTTTTGACCTTTAACACAATACATCTTTTAAAATATGGACATGTACATTAATCTTATATTTTTAAGCCGATGTATTTACGTTTAAAACTAAATTATTTCTTCTAAAACATATTTTTAAGTAAATTTAATTATAAATACATACGATTTATTGCCTTTGATCAAATGTTAAATACAAACATATTTGTTGTAAATCGATCAAATAATGATTACTGTAATATTAAACCAACTTGCGATTGTTGTTTTTTAAAACTATGTTTTATTTTCTTAATAGTTTTGCATGCCTTTTATTTTCTCGTGGACGGAAGGAATCCATTACAAAGTAATTAAGATACGTAGTTTCACTTACGGTCGATTAAGTAATAATAATGGGCAATTAAGATTACATTGAAGTAGGTATAACTATAAAATATACAGAGATATAGATAAACTGCATTTTACCTTAATTATTTTTAAAATTCGAACAGTTCTATCCAACGTATTTGTAGTTTGCACATTACATTAAGTGCATTGCCATTATAAAAATATACATACATATATACGTAAAATGCATTAGCAGCTATGTATAATACCGTTGAATGGAAAGATTAAAGAGCCGTGGTGTTTTTCTGTATTAGCTACAGTTGTGTATCTACATTATGGTCTATCATAGAAAACAATAGGAAGGACAATAATCCTAAATTTTTATACTTTTTTCATGTAAGTCGAAAGAGTACATTTTTTATTTTGAGATTACTTAAATTTATCGATATATTTTATTATCATATAGGTATTTTACTATATATTTTTACTGTAACTACTACTCAATTGTAAAAACTAATTTTTATAAAGTGTACAAGCAACGTTATAGAATAAATATTAATTTATAATAAATCGATTTTGAAAATTATCAAATATTGATTGCTATTAGTTCTAGCTTTTTTCATTTGTATTGTGTTTTCGCTCAGTACACCTAACTAACTTATTTAATTATAAATGTATTATTGACATAATATGTATTCATATTATTATACTTTTGAAATAAAATATATAAATATATATAACAGGCTAACAAATTTATTAATAATCATTACATTTTTTATAGATATTTTCTAATGATATTACTATTTAACATATACAGAATATAGGCATAAAAATCATATACTTTAAAGGGGTTTTATTTTAATATTTTTCAAAGTTCATTATTTTTATTTTTTAACTTTGTTGGTTTTATTGGTTGCATTTGACGCAGTCATTTGAGTTTTGCTGACACATCTGTTGTTGTTGATACAACTGGTGTTTTAAAGCGGCGCTCATACCATTTTCAATGATTTTCTGAAGATTTTGTCCAACTTCAAGGGATAGCCTTTGGTTTGTATCTCCGACTTGGTTGAACTTTCCAAGATCATATTTAAACCCTTCCATGTCGATGTTGGCATCTTCTACATTGAATTTGTATTCACCATTTTGCAATGTGACGCGTTCCATGACAGCGGTGGCGACAATCTTTTTGGCGAAGAAATGTACGTTCTTCACGTTAATTTGTTGGTATGAATCATTAGCAATAACATCAGAGTTCCATGAGGGATGTTTAGCCAACACAACCTTCACCTTTAATTTGTATCCATTTCCGGATTTGTTTTGACGGAAAACGACGTACTGGATTTTCCGTTGTGCGTTGGAAGAATCGTCCAACCATGTTAGGGATCTTTTGAGAGTTACTGTGAGGTGAGATCTCTTGTTTTTGACGACCATGTCAGACTGACTATTTGGGGTCGTGTCGAAGGTAGATTCAATTTCAGATCTTAAACATCCAATTAAACCATTGTAGGAGTTATCGATCATTTCATTTTCAATGGCTCTGTTTATAAACTGTACGTATTTGCTTTTAATGTTGTCGTGGACCGATTGGTTGTCAGAAGAGTCCTGGAAGTTTTGGGCGCTGAATTCAACATTTTCGCTTTGAGAGTGGGCGTAGTTGCGGTTATGGTTTCCCAAAACAGTCGATACACTCATATTAGAGTTGGTAATATGCAAGTCGAATAATCCTTTCTGTCCCATACTGGCCTTCAGGTAACCTTTCACTAACAATTTTTTGAAGAAATATTCCAAATTCACCTGTAAATCATATTCATATGTTATTATCGGTTATTGAAAATAAAATTTCACGTTAACTCCACAAATATAATAATTCAAAAATCTACTTACACAGTTATTTTCGGTGTTGACGTACATTGCGCTAATGATACCTTGACTGAGACCGTTAACTTTGCTATCGTTCATATTTAAGAATTGATGACGTTCCGTTGGCAGAGCCCATTGTCTTAAGGCGAGTGGTTCTTGTGCTTGGTTGGTTCGAACGACTCCAGTACGAGCAGTGTATTTATCAACGATGCTGACCAATTTTACCATTTTCAGTGCGACCTTGCGTCCAATATCGTCTGCAATGTCACCATTGTTTTGTTCCTTGGTGTAATCCTCTTGGGAGTTCAACTCTTGAGACGAGGTGGAGCCCGAGTCAAAGTTAAGTGACGATCCGTGATTTAAATTCAAGTGTTGGTTGTTTATATGTTGTTGGTGATGTTCTTCGCTATCCTGTTGGTTGAAAGAATCCATTGACATTCTTTTGTTTCCCATTACGTTTTGTTCTTGGCTGTTTTCTCCGGCCTGCATGTTATTACCGTTCTTATTGTTTAAATGACGTGGGAATTGAATTTCCCAGTTATACTCAGTGTTTTGATCATTCTGATCTTGGTTGATTTGTTGATTATGACTGTTCAAAGACCACTTATAAGACCTGTATTGGTTATTGTTCTGATCACTCATGAGCTCTTGATTATTCTGTTCTTGATTTTGGCTGTTTTGGGTCAAATCAAAATCAGTATCGTGTTGTCCATAATGGTCGCTTCTTTGGTCGTTATTTTCAACATGACGATGAGAACTTCCATGGTGTGAATGATCTTAAACCAAAATTGAAAAAAATTAGTACCAGCAAGTTCAAATTAAATCTACGATTGCTAAATATAGTTTATTAATCATTTTTATTCTGTACTACGGCAATGATATAAAAAATTAATTTTGTTACGTGCCACCAGCTCGATTTCAACTTGAGCAGTCGAAGATGTGTTATTATTAATTAATTAGACATGTGACTTTAATTTTTACGTTTATTTTACAATTCAAAGTGTTAACAATACTCTGATATTAGGTGTCGTGAACTTGCAGTTCCGTCATTAGAACATCTGAATTGTGGTCAATTACAGCTCTCTATTATATGGTTTGATTTGCGTCATAGGAATTGTTGATTTTATTATTTCCCGAAATGACTAGTTACGTTCTTGTTATTCTTACTCTGTTGGCCCTGCCCTTTGGTCTGATATTTCCGGGAATAGTTTTTAGACTTTCTTCTATGTTCTATTAACATACTACATAATACTTCCCGGACTATGACTAGTTTAAATATAATAATGATCAAAAAAAGGGTACATAATAATGTACGTTCTAAAAAATATTTGGTACCCTATAAAAATTTATTGAAATAGTTTATATTTTATTCGATAAACTTCAGAAACTCAATAGTTGAATTTTTCAATAATTTTAGATTTAAAATAAAAATTTGGTTGAAAACTATTTTTTTTAACTGATAAAATAGCATAATAGCATACAAATAAATGAACACCAAGTTAAATTAATTAAAAATCCATATAAATACTTACGAGCGTCAGAGCCAGCTATGGCTACGAATCCTAATACAACAACTGCCAACAGCTTCATAATGAATCCTTTGTTAATAGTTATTAATTATATTGAATCCAACAACTGAATGATGCATTTTAGATCAATATTGGTTGGTTTTATACTAAATATTTCATAGATATATTTATAAAATGACTTTGAAATCCGTAAAAATATTTCCTCCTTCAATTTTTTCCATATATTTTTAAAGCGTGATTATTATAAAAAAAATTGCATCAGTGGCCACAAAAACGCAATTATTTTTTATCAGCTAATATTATCAATTTATAATGTTGAGAATTATAAATTGAACAAAAAAGTTGTTATTAACTTATTTTGATTATAAAATATAAAACACCATGTACATATGATATTAATTATATTACACTATATAATACAATATGACATCAAATAAATACAATATATAAATTCATACATGAAATATATCATAAAGATATAATAATAAATAATGTAATATAATGTGTGTATTAGACATCACATAGATATAGCAGAAATTGGTAATTCAAATTTTTCATAGTAATATTGGAAAACGTATTTTTCAATTTTGGTGTTATTTTAAATTTTTATAATTATTATTCTTTACAGTAGTATAATTTCTTATTTTTCTGCTCGATAGTGCATATTAATAAAGTAATAAATACTATTTATTATTCAAGATATGTCAACATAACATATATTATAGAGATAAATAAATATTTACTTGAGAAATATGTTCATGATAACGTAGATTTTAAGATTAAAATATGCCGCTATTATCATTTTTATAATAATTTTTAATTTTATTATTTTGTAGTTTAATTTTAAAACAAGACTTTCGACCCAATAATAAGACGGAGGTTATGAATTAATCAGTTTCCACTATCAGACAATTAGTTTTTACTTATTTTATAAAAACAATATGTGTTGAGTGATATATAATTAATTTTCTTGTATATCATATCTAATAAAAATATTAATTAATTTAAAACTCATTATTTTTAATGAACTTTTATTTTCAAACCTATTGATGTAGTAAAAATACTAACAGTATGTTTATTATATTATATAATATTATTTATTAAATGTATAAATTATTACTTAATTAATTACGTTAATATTTAATGAATCGCATAATTTTGTTATCTTCTAAATAAATAAATTCAAATATTACGTCGATCGTTGCACTGAATGTGTTATGGTGGCATAATATCATTAATTAAGCAATCAAAAAATAATTAATTTAATATCTAAGCATACAAAAATGACCTGACTAAATACTGTGATACATTAAATATAAATAATGAAACTTGAATTTATAAATAATAAATGCTAAGAATATTAAAACAAATGTTGACAAAAATAAGGGAATAAAATTATCCAATGTTTAATTGATTAATAATAGCTGAAATTTTGTTTACGTATATTTAATTCATTATTAACACTCAAAAGTTTTTTGGGAAAATATTTTATTTAATTAAAATAACAATTTATTCAACAATTTATCTTAATTTCGTTTTAGTTTGAGTTTTCCTAACGTTTGAAAATTATAAATTATTATTTTTAGTAAAAGCTATGTTTTGGAGTAGTAATATAATTAATATTGCTGTATTATTATTATTTTTTTATTTTAATTATTACTATGTGAATGTGTAATAGTAATTTTATATCCTATGCATATTTTGGAAATCATATTTTCATGTCTTGTGAGATTAATTATTAGATCTGGCCATTTTCTGGTTAACAAATTGATTTGTTTTAATTTATTTTTTGTTTTTTTTTCTCCCACTGGATTTGCTAGAAGGAATGAAATTTAATTTTAAAGGCATTTGAATCAATTTAATCGTAACTGTCATATGTTATAAAAGGGTATATTGTGGTATCAAATTTTAATTTTTTTGATGTAATGTATTAATATAATGTCATAATAAAATCAGTGTGATTGCTCATATTACGTAAATAAACAATTATCATGACTAGTATATTAAATGGTTATTGTACATTTTTTTTCAATAAGCAAAAAATTATTTCATATAAAATATTAGCAATATATTTGTGTACTAGTCTCAATGTATACACATAATATAAAAGTATAATCTGTTATACATCGTATGATTTTATATCATTAAAAATAGTGTGATTTTGAAACTAACCAGAAAATTGTTTTCAATATCCAACTATTTTAAATGCCATTTTTTAAATTTTGCCATGAACTTGATGTTTAAAAAAATAACTTAATTATCAAAATGTAACAAATTTGTATTAATAGCTGAAACCATTAATCTATATAATAATATAAACTGTATACGTAATGGTTATTGTAGATAAATATGCTAATAAATTCTATAATTAATATGAAAATGTACAAAAACACATATTAATGTAAAGTCTTAGTAAATAGATATAAAACAAATGATTTATTTTTACTATCATGAAGAGTATATGGTAAATTAATTAGTTAGCACAAAATGAAAAATAATTAGATTTTCTTCGAAATTTAACTTAAACTGCAGTTTAAGGTTTCTACAAAATAGTATGTATAAAATAGTATATGTATATAATTATTTATTATGAATAATGTATTAGGTAGGTATATTAAAACTGACATGTCGTATAAATACAAGTTGTGTAAATAATAACAATTATTAAAATGTACTCTAATTTTTCTATTTTGAACATTTTTTAATCTTTTGGTACCAAATATTGATTCACGAGATTTTTTTTTTGTCTTTTTGTGAAAGTAATAGTATATGTTCAAACTTTAAACTTTATAATTACATTTACGTAAATTTTTTATATGAACCCAAAATAAATTAAATAAATGAAAATGTATAAATTATTATAATTGTTAGTGAATATATTTTATTATATTTTAAATCAAAATCATATTAGAAGCGTATTACGAAACGGTATAGTTGTATAAAAAGATATTATTTCTAGAAACCGAAAATATTAATGATTTCTTATGCTTGTTGTAATAAGATTCAGACGTTTGCAAATATTTTGTAAATTTTTAAGTTATTATAAATTTAATATATTTTCAACAAAAAATGTCTCGATTAAAACAAACAAACCCCTTTATACTTATCTCCTATATGTTTCTTACTTTGACGCAGTATGCCCAAATCCCTGCGTATATCACTAAACATATTACACTGGGACAGTAAGCGCGAATACATAAAATAATTATACAGCTCAAAATAATGTACTACATGTACTAAATTTACTGAACGATTAAATTATATTTATATGCATACTTAATCGAATCAAGACAAAAACCATTTATTTCCAATATTTCCCAAAACAAATTATAGTAATAAATGGTAATATATCAAATTTTCGTGTACCTCAATATATTATAAATATTATTTTAACCTAAGTCAATCAATATTACTATTTTAGGATGATCAAAACAGTTATTAACTTTTTTCAATTTTTTTTCATTTAGTCTTTATACGTTCTTATTTATATACAATTTATTATAAATGAAAATGTATTCAATATTTAAATTTATAAATTACAATGAAATCTGTGCCGTACTGTTATAAATATGTTCGTTTTAATTAAGTACCAATAAACAAGTATATTTGTAACAAATGTAACAGAACAAGACTTAATATGAAAAGCTATTCAATTTAAATTAAAAAAAAATTGTTTTATAAATTAATTTATTACATACCATATTATCTATATTGGCATTGAATCATGAATATTACAGTAAAGAGTAAATCATTTTAAATTTTTTTTTATTAAGTGTTTTTATTGATTCATTATAATAACCAATGGAATATTATATGATTTCATTAAATTACACAATACGGCTCTATATATGACGAATATAAAAGCAAATTAATAATAATCTTACCAATGTTTACAGTTAAACATTATAGGTAGGCTTATACCAATATTGATAGCGTACACAAATTTAATCGAGGTTACTAAACTTAGATACGAAATAATATTTTATTATTTTTTTTTCTATAACCGGATGTTTTTTTTTTTTAAATTACCAATTACTATAACACACATACTATATTTCGGTTTGATATTGTCTATTTCTATTTGCGACAACAAAAACAATTTATAAATTTTAGTTATTGTTCTGCTGCGGTTCTTTACTATTGTAGGACACACGACTGTGCCGAGGAAAAGAATTACATAAAAACATACACGGACCGTAACCTAACTTTGTTGAACAACATTCGTCTTGGTTTTTGCTGGTAACTGCTATTATGCATTTCGACCCAGCGATAATTATTTACATACAGCAATTTACTGGTAAACTTATAAAAATATCCTGCCAAGACTGAGGATCTTATATTTTATTATCGAGACTATATCAATAGCGTACACATTATTGCCGGAAGTGTTCTAGAACACCTATAGTGATGGATCCAGGATATTCAATACTAAAAATAATTAAGCCAGCAACAGTAATTGCATTATATATTTAATACAAAGTGCAAAACATTAACATTCTGCGGTCAGGTGCGACATTTTTCTACGATGTGAAGCTCAAGTTTTTTAATTTTTTTTAATTTTTTTTTTATTTGATATTTTAACTCCTTTGTTTTTTTTACCTTGCAAATGTTCTGGATTTACATTCACATACTAAAAAACCCAAGCCATAATTATTTGATTATTTATTTATTCGCTTGTCAAATTAATTATTTTCTGCGGTCCATTTTCTAATAATTTCGTTTTTGGCCCACAGTCCGTGTATAAATAAAAAAATACGGAATAAGTCAACGGGTGAATCGGTTGGATATGAGACCCTTGTTTCTATCGTTTTCTATTCAAGCACAGTCCCTAGACCGTCGCGAAAGTAAATCGTTCTGTTAAATCCTCGTTCGAAACGCCCGGATCTTATAAATATTTGGTATTTGTTATTTGGGTAACGGGGGTACACTGGACACCGAAACCTGTGCGTGTGTGAGATGTGTATGGATATTGTACGATTAATGGCGTTTACACGATACAAAGAAAATCTTTAAGCCAGTCTCGTCACAGGGGCGTATTTAGACTTACTTCTATGGGGAGGGGGCAAAACTCAAAATTTTCTTTAATTCCTGTTCAAAA